GGAATCGCCCCACTTTTCGCTGTTAAAAGAAATTTCAATCCATGCATCCCTGCATTAGAGATTGGTTAGCCAAAGAAAGGAAGAATTATAGAGGCCGGCGCAACCAACTTGGTGATACAAATGTAGTTTTTTATCTGCCTGGAAATACACGACTTCTTCGCAGGCTAGGTCAGCTTTGAAAGAGGGAACAAAAACTCGTTGCGTAGATTCGCAAACTGAACGAAATCTAAAGCTCTGGGTGACCGTGGTATAGGGCCCTCAATGAACCTTGTGTCAGACGGATTCAAAACGGAGAGAAAACGATGTGAGAGATCCGGCACACATCTTCCAAGATTCAACTAGCAGGCAGGGCGAGAAGCCCAATGCCTGTAAATCTCATCCAGCACAATAATCACTGATCGCCCTGAGTTTCTCTCCAAATCGCCACAATCCCCAAGGTGCCAGGATCCCCAAGGCCACGGAAATAAACCCAAGCAAACTGTTTCCCCATCCGAGTCCCAATTGTTTATACAGCTCCGCGCCAAACAGTGGAAAACTAAAACCTGCCATTGTCCTCATAAATGCGACGGCGCCGGTCGCGCTCGCGGCATACCTACTATATGCGTCGACAACATAGGATTGAACGCATTGGAAGCCAATAATCAGGCCCATGGCGAAGATAGCGCAACCAATGTCTGGGACGATCCAGTGAGTGCGGTAATGAGTGCTCCAGCCGTAAATAAATATTCCTACAGGAACGAGGAGACCGCCGGGAACCATGAGAGGGATACGAAACTCGGGACGGCCGTCATGAGAGTAGCGCTTTTTGAGGGCACAATATGTCTAGAGGCCTGTTAGCCTAGAAGTAAATACGGGATTGGGATCCGAAACTTACTCTATCATTCAGAGGCGCACAGATCTGCAGCCCAATAATAAAACCAACACCGAGAGCAATATAATGCAAACTTGCGGTTCCGGGAGAAAAATGGTATGCCTGCTCCCACACGAGAGGGAACGTTGCCAACCTTCAGAAAAGAAAATGAGAAGATGATTGTGGAATTTATTGGCTCAGGGAGAGGTGCTACCTACACAAGATACATCAGGCCATATAGATACGCTCTATAAAGCCCAAGAACCTGAATCGCCGGTTGCGTAGAAAGCATGATTAATGGCCTCACTAAATTTTTGCGTAGAATTTGAGCGAGGGTTCGATCGGGAGTTTCCCATTGCGTGTGCAAATGAGGATTCCCTGTTTCTCGCCGGAGCCTTTTTGCTTTGACCGCCAAAATTTTGGGCGCATAAGTTTCACTGAGAAATATAAAGGAACCAATTTGGATAGCTGCATCAAAAATTGAGGTGGCCCAGAATATCCATCGCCAGGAGGTATATTGTGCGATGTAACCACCAGCTAACATTTTCCTTAGTTTTGGTTATCGGCTTAAGCAGCGTAAGCTAGGGATATGGAGCATACCGATGGGTCCAACAACAGGACCAATAAATGGCGCTAAACTGTATATCGCGATGGCCTTGCCGCGCTCTTCTTTGCGCCAACAGTCACTCAACATACCTCCGTTCAACTAAGCGGACATGAGGGGTCAGCAATTATACCGGTGGAAATACTACAATAAGGCCAACCTACTGTCTGAGGCGCGCTCCCACCCAAACCACTCACAAATCTGAAAGCAAGAATCTGCTCTTTCGACTGCGCAAACCCACAAAGAGTGTTGAAAATCAGATATACAATATTCGACGACTGGAGGATAACCACGCGCCCGTAGATCTCCGACAATGGTCCCAATAGAAACGGGCCGATTGCATAAGCGAGAAGAAAGATTGACATGACTAGAGCTTGCTCCATGGAATTGGTAATGTGAAGTTCTTTGGCAATTGTTGATAGAGCTGGTGCTAGCATGGTCGAAGACATAGGTGAAACAAAAGCAAAGAGTGCGATGATCCATGTGCAAACCCATTTCTTTCTTCTTGCCCAATTCAAGGGATTGGTAGGATCATCCGGGCCGGACCAAGTAACCTGCAAACTGATAGTCAGTTATCTAGGCCTTTCAGATACAATTTAAGCTTATGTATACTCCGTAGACATACCAAAGTTTCGTCGTCTTTGCCCTCTTCATGGTCGCTTGCCATTCCGCCGCCTGGGTTATTTGTAAATAGCCCTTGTTCAACTGCTGCATTCTTATCCATTGAGTAGATGGTGGACGACTCTGGCCCGGCTTCTGGAGCACGAGAAACCATTGTGTACAGTGATGTTTTTAACTAGAAGATTGAAATTCCAAGTTCAACCCGGGTTGGAGAAGGAAAGAAAAAAAAAAGAAATACCGGTGACACAAAACAACTTTCCGATCGGTGGATCGAGCCTATCAGATTAGATCTGTTCTTGAAAGCAAAATGGCAAAAAGAAAAGAAGGCTATTTACGGGCGGGTTGGCAACGTCCGGGCTTTCTGGGGATGATCCCTCTGTTTTGTACCTGGCATAGACGGGTTAAAAATATATGTGCATGCATCGTGAGGAAAGTGACACTGCATCAAACGTCTCCTCGGTCGTTGTCCCCGGTCTCAGTGAGAGTAGCCACGCCAGGGATGCGTCGCCACCCAAGATGGCAACCTAGCCGTTTCTAGTCTCAAAAAGCAATAGTCGAAGCGACAAAGCACGACGAGTCAAAAAGCATGGGGCATGCTGGAGTCACAATTTTCCTGCCAACCCAAGTGGTGTGGGGAGGATCGGATCGACGACCAAGCCACTGTGCATGAGAGGCTCCGGGATACCGGGGGCGGTGAGGGTACCAACCATGACCCAGATCGGCCGGCAATGGTTCTTCACGGCATCATGGCACGCGAGCACAGCATCGAAACAGGAAGCGCTTTTCTGCAGGTGCAGAAGAAACGCGGAATAAAGCTTAACCAAACACGGGATAGCGGGTGATGTCACGGCGCTAAACCATATCTGGAAGTTCCAAACGCGCTTAGCCGTTTTTGGGCGAAGCCGATTGACGGAAGAGCAATTCAACTGTAACCAGGGCATCAATATCAAAGTGCTTGTATAGCTGTGTTCTCAGGGCTGTGATGCCACGTCAGTAGAGAGACTTCAGCTGCAATTGGAAGTTCAAGTGGAACTCCCTTGACTTCTCATTAGGCGCTCCCTTGGTTTCCGAACTGTAAGGGTTGCCTTCACCCCACAGTAAATGGAGTTTCGAAAGCCTTCGAGATTGACAAGAAATGCATACAGGCCAGAAGCTTCACCAGGTTGTAGAGAAATAGGAAACTGGAAACGCCGGCTTCAGATGCAGATACGCGGGCAATGTCTCCATTGCACATTGGCTTGGCTTAGACATGGCCTTAAACGGGTTTGACGGTTGTCAACCGTTGTTGTGGCACATCGGCTCGGTTCGCCGCTCGACACATCATATAAAGCCACTATGAAGATGCCACAAACAGTAGATCTTCGTTTTCCATCCCTGCGCCAAAGTAAATGCGGTCGTCGGGACGATTTCTCTGGTTCACGGAGACCTGAATTGTGAAATACTTCTCTGACTGTTCCAAGACATTGAAAAGAGCAAACATGAATATCCTCGTTGCTCCAAGTGGCTTCAAAGAAAGCCTGGAGCCCCACGTTGCTGCGGATTGCATCGAAGCCGGAATCTTACGCGCTGCCCCCGATGCCAAAGTACGAAAGGTACCGCTATTTGATGGAGGTGAAGGGTTTGCTCGTGCGTTGGTAGCATCCACTGGAGGGGAACACAAAGAGTTGGCTGTCACCGGGCCGGTTAAACATAAAATCAATGCGTTCTACGGTTTTCTTGGGGGAGAACGGCAACGAACTGCTGTTATCGAAATTGCTGAAGCCGCGGGGCTCCGCCTGGTTCCTAAAGACCAACGAGATCCAACAAGGACAACAACATACGGAGTTGGAGAATTGATAAATGCCGCTTTGAACCATGGCGCAGACCGAATCCTGATTGGCTGCGGGGACTCAGGAACGAGTGACGGCGGAGTTGGTATGTGCCAGGCCCTTGGAGCACGGTTTCTCGACAACAAAGAATGCGAGCTTCCGCAAGCTGCCGGAGGGGGGAGCCTTGCTAAGTTGGCTAAGGTTGACCTTTCTGGAATCCATCCACGGTTGAAGAAGGTCCAAATCGATGTGCTTTGCAATTGGAAAAACGTTCTATGTGGGCCCAACGGCGTCGCCAGGGTCTACGGGCCGCAAAAGGGTGCAACGGCGGAGCAAGTTGACCAACTTGCAGCAGCACTAGAAAACTATGCGGCAGTTGTTAAGCACGATGTAGGGATGGATCTGGCTAAGATGCCAGGTGGAGGAGCGTCGGGAGGATTAGGAGCTGGGTTTGCGTTGATCGGTGCGACATTGCGTCCCAGGTTCGAAGCGATCACAGAGTATTTCGGGATCGAAAAGCTATTCGATGAATGCCATTTGATTTTCACTGCCGAGGGCGGAATCGATTATCAGACACCAAGGGGTAAAATCCCCGGCGAACTGGCGATACGAGCCAAACGATGCGGCCTTCCTGTTGTCGCAATCGCGGGAACGATTGGAGCAGGCGCGACAGTTAACTATGGTGCCGGAATAGATGCTTTTACAAGCATTATCCAAGCTCCAACAAGTCTCGAAAACGCCGTAGCTCAGGCACCAAAGCTTCTGATTGAGAGTGCGGAGGCTGCGATGAGAATGATCATGATTGGGCGTCGCCTTGTTGTCAACGAGGCCAAGAGCCGAAATAGAGAAGCCGGTGCATCTCAGTGGATATCTCCTGAAAGAACTAGCATCCGCTTCCAGATTCGGGAGTCTATCGTCAAGCTGCTACCTTTGCTCGTATCACTCTCCATCTTTATCTCCTGGCCCTGGTTTGCGGCGGGGCACTGACGGCCGGAAAGGCATCCCAGTGCGGCGTTGATGAGAAATGAAGAAAGCCAGGAGCATCGGTAATCTTGGCTACTACCTTCACTGAGAAAAATCACGAAAACCAGAGTGTGCTATAGTTATATGATGTTTTGATACGATGCATCGGGGGATGAGGTTGATGAATGTCGTTCTAGTGGGAAGTCCACAGCGAGCACGGGCCCCTTTATTTCCCGAAATTACATAAGCCGAGTGTGGTGTTACGCTATTCAATTTGTTTGTTCTATCAGCAGTGTTCGTTCAGAATAAAATCTTCGTTTGTAACTATTAATTAGGATGTCCGGTGGTAAATAAGCCAGATTCCAATTCTTAAGCCACGACATGATGATGAAACAACCAATGACTGCTGGAATAACTACATAAGAGATTTATCTGTTCGCCCATTGACGCCCCGACGCCAGAAGGTTGATAATACATTTAGCCGTGAGCTCCCCCTATGCATCCCATTATCCCAAGCAAACAAGAATATATAATACGGAGAAAGCTGGATTCCAAATGAAGCGTAACGGCATCTAAAAGACACGGTCTTCCTCTGTTTCTTTCACAGATTCAGATGCCGTTGGACTTTTAGGTCTAATTGGGCTCGGATAATTTTGTCCTGGAGACGGTTCACGCAAGAATTCCTGGCATAGTAGGGCTGACGCAACGCTGACATTCAAACTATCGACCCCTGCGGGGTCATCGGATAAGCCAGCGGCCTGCGCACCGGGGATAGCCACAAACGCATCGGCTTTCCGCTTCAGATACTTGCTTAAGCCGTATCCTTCACTCCCGAGCATTAGTACACAAGGGGATTTGCGAGGTTCCGCCGATAGATTATGTGGTGAGAGAATAGGAGTTTTGGTCAGCATGGTATCAACCTGTGCCTGACTATCATCAAACGTAGAGGCGGGCGGTTCTGCGGCAAAGAAACGCCAGCCATTGCCGCGCGACGTGTCTATAAATGTAGCTGGGTCGTGAATGGAGATTAGAGGCATGTTTTCGGCGGCACCGGCCGACGCTTTGATAGTCACCGCGGATAACGGTGCTGAGTTCCGGGAGGAGAATGCGATAGCGTCGGCGCCGAAGAAGTACGCGCTTCGAATTATAGCGCCCAGATTTCCGGGGTCGAGAATCCCGTCAAGGAGGAGGATAAAAGGGTACCGAGGAGTTTGCTGAGAGATGTGATCAGTGTTTCGTTGTGACATAAGTGGAATGTGGCCATCAGAGCCATTGATATCCGCTTCTTCTTTAGGCTGTGATGCCACATTAACAGTAAAATGGGTAGCCGGTAATGTGGTCACCGCTTTGAGGCTTGTCGCGGGAAGTTTCGGTAGTGGAGATACTTCGGCAACATATCCGTTATGGGGTCGATCATCGCTCATCCTGTTCATCATTTTCAACCAGGTACCAGAGACAAGCTTTACGGTCGCACCTGCAACAGTTGCGTGTTTTTGAAGAGCATTGACCTCTGGTTGGGCCCATTTTGTTGAGCTTGGGTCGGCATCGTAGATATACAAAGCATAGATTTTGCGACGCGAAGCAAGAACAGCTGCACGAACCGCAGAATAGCCATATATGAACTCGGAGACGGCATTGGTGTGTGGAACGGATCGAGGGCAGACAAGTGATACTTTGGAGACTAAAGATACGGGGCTGTCGATTGTTGGCTTAATTTTCTTTCCCTTCTTTCGCTTTATTGGAGCTCGCCCATTTGAAGAATATTTCCACCAACTTTTTGTGCGAGTTTCTCGTTCGCCGCTGATTTCAGATACACGGTTATGAAGGTCACTGCCTCCCTGGCCCTGTCGTGGACGAGCCTCCCTACCATAGTCAAGCTCAGGTCTATGAAAATCGTCCCTTGGTCTGCGATCCTGGCCCTGTCGAAAATTGGTTTCTCGTTGGCCGCTATATCCAAGTTCACGATTATGGAAGTCCCTTCGCCCGTATCCTCGGCCTGGTTGCGAACCGGTTCCTTGCCGGCCAATGTCAAAATCACGGTTATGGGAATCTCTCCTCAGTCCGCGTTCTCGGCCTTGTTGCGAACGGGGTCCTTGCCGGCCGCTATACTCAAGCTCACGGCTGTGCGGGCGGCTCTCGGCATTAGATATTTGTTTGTCCCAAGGCTTTGGATTGCGGCCGGCGACAGAACGGTCTTTGCGAATGCCGTTGGAAATGGCAGAATTCAAAGAAGCACACCGACAGCTCCGAGCGCTAAGCGGTTTGCCCCAGACAGATTGAGAAGCTCTAGATAGGCAAAGGCCCCTAAAAAACAAGCCCATTGTCTCTAAAGAAGACAAGGAGCGGCTTCTCTCCTTTTCTGTTGCAGACAAAAAAATATGAGATTTCAGGCAACAGATTGTCGGATTCATTAATAGTGCTTACTAAGCAGCTGACAGTCCCAGCCCTAGTCTTGTTTGGGTTAGGCCGACCCTGCAGCTCAACTGGTCTCGTCACGCTAAAAAAGGCAATTAAATCATCCCTCCCCAGACGCGTCTCTCGTTCTCAACCCACCACGACCCTCGCTATTTTTCCTCCAGGTGAGCCGGAAGCCACCGACGGACGCGATACAATCTCATTTTTCGTTTTTATTTCAAGTTCTCCCCAGCATCAGGCGCAGTCACACTGGAGCATGTTGAATTCGAGCGAAGTAGAGATATTGAGCAGCGGAGACGAAGATGATGATGCGGCGACCAATGTCCTCAGCCAGTTTATCACAGCGAAATCGAGCTCACAGAAAACCCAAGCATGCGAAAACCGACTTGTATGTGTTTCTGTTCCAGAAGTGGATAATGATTGTGGATTTCTTTACTTGCCTGGCCATTCCCACGTCGATCAGATTATATCCCGACTGAATGATGATATTTACCTGGTCAAACTCGGCAGTGGTGATATTATAGAGGTAAACTTGATTGTGTGGTCTCTTTTTTCCTCTGCTCACAGCACTATAGATCTCATGTGGTGGCCTGTTAGATCTTGATGGTGGACCGGCGGCTCTGTCAGAATTCAAAAGAAAGACACTCCCGTTACGACGATCAAGGCGCACCCAAGAAAATGCCTTCATAAATATTGAAACGGTTAATCTCTCGTCAGACGAAGAAGATCAAACATCTTCCAATTCCGGCAGATCCTCATACATGCAGCCTGTTCGCCGGTCTCGACGGCTTACTTCTGGACCTAAACTTCATGCTTTCAGTGACCTCCAGGATGATTCGGATGAGCTAAATGGTGATGTGACGCTTGGACGAAGACGTAGTCAACGGGTCAGGAACAGTCGGAAGGGCGCTACAAGTCTGGCAGAACGAAAGGAGGATGACATTTCAGAAGTCGAGGTTGCACAAACTGGCTCAAAGTACTCTGGCGCTCGAGAAGTGTTTGAAGTCCTTCCCCGAGATAACTTGTTCCGAACCCATCACCAGCAAGCCTGTGCTACTTGCCTCTACGAAGATCCCGGCCCTTTAGTGTATTGCCAGGGTTGTACCAGCTCATACCACAAGACCTGCCTTGGACCTCGTGGCCAACGCCTCCACTTGGTTACCAAAGTGAACAATGGATACTTCATTTTGCAGTGCCGTGCTTGTCTTGGGACTGCCTGTGGAAAAGACAAGCTTGCACCACACCTAGGAAATTGTTCTAAATGCCATAAGGCTGGTTTCTTTTCAAGTCCTTTACGGCCTCAATTAACTGCTCGCCAGGAACAGACGCAACGTGAAGAGAATGGAGGTGTCGACCCTAGTATTGCTGTTGACATAGGCCAAATCAACAATGCTGAGAATGTTATGTTTCGCTGCATGACATGCAAGCGTTCCTGGCACATGTCCCATTTGCCCCCTAAGTCAAAGAAAACATACATCGCGGATAGCGATGACGACAATGACAATGGAAGCCTTGAGGATGACTATGAACTGTGTAAGCGGCGGTTCAGTGAGTATTCTCGACAATGGCAATGCCAAGATTGCTTGACTGCACCTGGAGAAATTGAAGCTCTTGTCGCATGGAGACCTCTAGACCTTGACAGCTATACTCCGGGCTATACATCAGACATGTTGCCTGAACTTTCAAAAGAGTATCTTGTCAAATGGCGGAAATCCTCTTATTTCAAAGTAACATGGATGCGTGGAGATTGGGTATGGGGTGTTACTGCTGCTGCGATGCGTAAGGCATTCCATAAATCAACAAAAAGCCTAAAACCCTGTATGTCCACAGAGGACGCAATTCCGGAAGAATATTTACAAATCGACATTGCCCTTGATATTCGCTATTCCAATGTCGTCTCAAATAGGACATATGAAATCGACTTGGCTCGTATCGGGGAAGTGGTCGAGGTATACGCCAAATATAAAGGACTCACATATGAGGAGGCAGTATGGGAAAAGCCCCCTGATCCCTCGAATACCGATCAATGGAATAGTTTCCAGGTTGCCTATGCAAACTGGGTACAGGGCCGTTATATTCAGCGACCAAACCGGATTAGGTTGAAGAAGCATTTGCTTAGCATTAGGTCTAAGAACTTTGGGGACCATTTGGTGAAGCGGGAGCAGCCTAGCATTCTTGTTGGTGGGCAACTGATGAATTACCAACTTCAGGGCTTGAACTGGATGTACGAGCTTTGGCATCAACAAAAGAATGCAATATTGGCAGATGAAATGGGTTTAGGGAAGACTATACAGGTTATCGCGTTCTTTGCAACTCTTATTCAGGATCATAGTTGCTGGCCTTTTCTTGTTGTCGTCCCGAACTCTACTGTTCCCAATTGGCGCTCTGAAATCAAGAGATGGGCACCTAGCCTCCGCGTTGTGACTTACTATGGCCTCTCAACTTCGCGAAAGTTAGTTCGCGATTATGAAATGTTTCCCGATGCCAAAGGAGGGTTGAGATGCCATATTGTTGTCACGTCATATGAAACTATGACGGATGACCAGGGGCGTCGGGTCCTTTCGACAATCCCATGGCAGGGGTTAGTGGTTGATGAAGGGCACAGACTGAAGAACGACAAAAGCCAGCTTTATGATTGTCTCTCAAAGATCAACTTTCCATTCAAACTTCTCTTGACCGGGACTCCTTTACAGAATAATATCCGCGAATTGTTTAATCTCATTCAGTTCTGTGACCCCTCGAAAGACGCCGAAGAGCTTGAATCCCGTTACCAAAATCTGACAGCAGACAACATCACTGAACTTCACAAAATGATCTTTCCCTTTTTCCTTCGAAGGACCAAAGCCTTGGTTTTAGATTTCCTTCCACCAATGACACAAATAATTGTTCCAGTTTCAATGACAATTGTTCAAAAGAAGTTGTACAAATCAATCCTGGCCAAAAATCCGCAGCTGATCAAAGCCATTTTCAAGAAAGCTGGTCCCTTGAAGCAGTCAGAGCGGCACAATCTGAATAACATTCTCATTCAGCTTCGGAAGTGCCTATGTCACCCGTTTGTTTACAGCAATGCTATTGAAGAACGTGGTGTGAATTCCACGCTATTACACCGAAATCTTGTTGAAGCTTCTTCAAAACTGCAACTTCTAGAGCTTCTTTTGCCAAAGCTCCAAGAACGCGGTCATCGTGTTCTCATCTTCAGTCAGTTTCTCGGCTTTCTTGACATCATCGAAGATTTCCTCGATGGGCTTGGCTTGCTACATTTACGGTTGGATGGGTCTCTGTCTTCACTGCAGAGACAAAAACGAATCGATCAATTTAACGCACCGAATTCACCCTATTTTACATTCTTGCTATCTACTAGGGCAGGTGGAGTGGGAATTAATCTTGCAACGGCTGACACTGTTATTATCATGGATCCTGATTTCAATCCGCATCAAGATATTCAGGCCCTTTCTCGAGCACATAGGATTGGCCAACAAAGGAAAGTACTTGTTTTCCAGCTTATGACCAAAGGAACCGTCGAAGAAAAAATAATTCAAATTGGGCGAAAGAAGATGGCTCTTGATCAAGCCCTAATTGGTTTTATGGATGCAGAAGAGGATGCGGGAGTTGATTTGGCATCTATTCTTTGCCATGGTGCGGACGCGCTATTTGACGACGACGATGAGGGGGATGTTCATTACGACCACAAGTCAATTGAGAAGCTCCTAGAACAAAGCGAGAATACAAAGACTAGCGATGATACCTCTGCTGAATCCCAGTTTAGTTTTGTGAAGGTTTGGACAAATGAATCTGCGAATCTTGAAGACCGATCGGACGAAGCCGAAACTTCAACGCCTAATAGTACAGTATGGGACAAGATATTAAAAGAACGAGAGCACATAGCCGAACAAGAAGCACTAGCAAAGGCAGAAACATTGGGCCGAGGCAAGCGCAAGCGCCAGGAAGTTAATTACTCGTTGCCGGAATCTCCTTTACGACAAAATAAGCCTGATAGTGATATGGAATTCACAGGGGCCGAAGTCGAGTCAGATATTGATAGTCTTAATAGCGATATATCTGTGGCTCCTGAACAGGCCAACAAGAGAGGTCTAAGCTCTGCATTGGGTATGTAACCTTCATTTTCCATTTTGCTAGAATGATACTAATTCGAATATAGCCCGTCCTTACAAGCGAGCTAAAGTTATTGACCTTGACGGTCCCGTTGACAGTCCCAGTATCTGTTGCGTCGCTTGCGATGGGATCCATCCACTGGGTCATTGTCGTCTGAAGCAAGCTGGTGTCGAACACTGTGGACTGTGCGGCATCGCACATTTCGGTCATTCACGAACCTGTCCTCATCTAAATTCTGAAAGTCAGGTTGCCAGTATGCTTTCTTCTCTGAAGCAAAGTACTGAACAGCGGGCGCTAGTCGAAGAGGCGACCAAGTATCTGCGAGGCATCAGAGGTGATCTTGTACGTCGTAAGAAACAGAAGTCGGCCAAGGGCAATCCAAATGGACACAGCGGTGGTGCATTAAGTGCGCTACCAGTTGGCCTAATACCAACCGCTCCGCCGCCTCAGCCTCAGCAGCCAGTTACAGCCACGCCGCCAGCCTATTGGAACCCCTCTTATTGTCCCTATCCCCCCACTCACGGAGCCCCGAATGCATATGACTATTCAGCTACTTATCCCCCAAGAAGGTGAAAAGACCGGTGGAACTTGTTTCACACTTTCTTGCGATGCTGGCGGCAAATTCCTAGTCGTTTGCATATCAAGTGGTGGGTGGCCATTTGTTATCATTTACTTGTTGCATTATATCTCGTCTCTCTTCACTAGCTAGGTTTGTATTATAGAATCAGGTTGAGGCCAGCATCAAAGGCGTTTGCATGGGAGGAAATACGTCCATTTGCGAAGACTTTTGACGCGCTTTATCCATTTGTTCCGGATCCGGTTTGAACTAGGGTCAATGAATCTCAAGCAATGTTCCCCCAATTCTCGAGCGCATTTGGTATAGCATTTAGTTTGTGATTGATGTTTGAAAACTAAGGCGATCGAATCGGAGCTAGCCGGAGTCATAAGGAGGAATCATGCACAGGCGGATACCGTCCAGCCGTAGGATGCTTAAAACAAAAGAGATCTTCATAGATTAGCCGCTCGTCCTCAGCGTGTCTATCTTGTGATATCCCCAGATTTCCTCACATGCGCCTCGAAGATTTCCTTTGAAAATAATAGTCGCGGACCATCTGCAGCACGCTTTACGGAGTAAAACCCGCTCCATTCGGCAAGGCGATTAGCGGGATCCAGGAACAGCACATAATGACGACCAACTGAAGTTTAACAAGAATGGATTGGGATCGAGTGTAAATGGAAATTTCAAGCAAAAAATCTTTATTGTTTGCCTTCTATGTTAACTTCTTTGATGATAGATGTTGACCCCGGGGGTGATCTGTGTGGTCAACCTTGTTAACCCGCTAGCCAGTCACATGATCAATCTCCTTCCCTCAAAGTCAACGTCACTTCATCTTTACGCCGGACCAAGAATGAACAGTGAGAGACTCATAGCAACTGCAGTAGCTGCTGAACGGTCTGAATCAATGCTGATTCATGTGTTGAACAAGCAGTTCATTGAACCTGAAATTCCCGGATGAAACATCACAGGAAGGGAGTAATTCATGCTAGAAGGCAATCATTAAACCAAGCAGAAACAACCAACAAATGGAACTTCTATTCTACCTGCTTCTCTATTCTATCGCTTGATAGAATGAACTGCTGTGCTGGGTCAAGGTGGCGAAACCCTTCCCCAGCTTCATTGCCTGTTACTATGCTTGTGTATTGGTGTCCTCCCAAAGGGGAGCTGCTGCCTCTCTGACTGGTGGTCAAAGATATCTGGGAAATGTCCCAGAAAAATCATTTATGATGATTTTGCTTCTAATGCTGGCAAGGTACCAATTTTCATCTGAGTCTGTTTGCGGGCGCCGTCTGCTCAACAACGCATGGTTTGGCCAGGTGAAGGGCATACTGTACACTGTTTAAACTATTATATGAAACCTCAAAGGTAGAGTTTCTGCCCAATGGCAAACTCTGTGATATTTGGGCTTTTCCTTGAGCAAAATGAAAAGGCTTTGCTGTATCCGTGATGCGCATGCAGGCTCCCGATAGCCGCATCCCAGGGCTAGTAGCATGTCTTGAGTGGAAGGCAAACTGCTTTATGGGTAGTGGTTCTTTAGGCAAACAAGGGGCAATGAATCAGTAATGTTGTTCACAGATTCTTTCAGGTTGATAATTGTGATGACCTCAGGGTGCCCAGCTTCCGGACAGGTTTCTTCTGCTTCTTATGATATCAAGTTTACATTCCGGAATTTGCTCCATCATTACACATCCAGAGTCCTGCACCTGATACTCATCTCTTGCAGAAGACTGTGTTGATGGAGCTTGTTCTTTGCTAGATGTGAGAACACTGTGTTGGCTTTCCTGCCCAAGTCCCTGCTTTCCCCAACAGATTCGGCAAGTTCCAGCATTTCTCAAAGTATTCCCCCTCCATCTTCTCTGTGTTGTGTTTCTCTGAAAACCCACAAAAAATTTTTTCCTCCCAAATTCATCTCGCACTTTGAGCATCTCCTTCTCGCTTGTCACTTACCCTTTTATCATCAGTTCTTTTTCCGTTGTCTCGTTTATCCAATCCCTGAGTCTCTCAATATCTAGCAGTTGTTAGCCACCTTTTTGCTCTAAAGCTCAATTTCTGAAAAGATGGATGCCTCGCTTCGTCCCCAGTTTTTCATCTCTCGTCAAGATGGTAGTCTTACGCCTCTCGTTGCTGTCGATGAACTCCCTCCTCTTATGTCAATCCGTGGTGTTCCTCGCTTGTTAAGTCAGAATGAGACCCAAGGGATGACCAGTCTCGGTAGCGCGAATCATCGTGGCCAATTCTACGTTGTCGACTGTTTTGCACATGACACAGCTGAAGCAGTTACCACCGTGGGTGATCAGAAGTCTCTGGCAGTCGGCTCCAAGGTAAGTTGAAAATACAATTGCTCCATAGCTGCCACCCGATCTGCATTCTAAGGCCATCATAGCAGGATGCAACTCGGAACGGCAGAGGTCTCTCTAAGAATGTGAGCCTCATTTCTTAGTCTTATCTCTTGACAATGGGGCAAATTATGCTGATGCTGTAGCAGAACTCCAATTCTCGTCAGAAAGGAAATCCTAAAAAAGAGTATTGCTCTTTTTGGCTTCGCCATGGAGAATGCGATTATCAGCAACAAGGTAAGTAAATTGCAGGCAGCCATAAATTTACAAAGCTTATACCCGATCTTAGGCTGCATTTTCAAGCATGAGATGCCTCTCGACCCCGCTGTCCTTGAGAAGCTCGGTCTTAGGGACATCCCTCGTTGGTATCGTGAAAAACATATTGTCAAGAGCATTGCAGCGAATGTGGAGAACTCGCGAATCCGGGCGAACCGCTCCAATGTTCAAGCTCTATTCCATGGGGGAAAAAAAGACCACCCTTACGAGCATATCGCTATCGGGACATCCGGAGTTCCCTTGCAAGGACACAACCAGGCCCCTCAGAATGGCCCAGGTACTGCGCATGATCAAGCTTGCCGAATGAATCTACTCCAGAGCCCTAGCAAAACTCATTTAAAGCCTATCGCTCCAACTGGGCGAACCGTCGGAAGTGGAGAACAGGCCACAGCTACTTTGGACGGGATATTTGGGCCACCCAAGCGGTTTGATCTCGTTAACCAGAATAATTTGAAGGATCTTCAGAAACCAAATACCGCCAATACCGCCGTCAAATCTAAAGATAACTTTGGACAGATCGTCAATGGTTTAAATTCCAACCAGCCCTATTCACTTCCTGTCACGGCAGCCGGCTTCTCTAGAAGCAATATCGCTCAGCCCATCAATGCCAACCTTTTCAACGGCTGTAGGGCCTTGAATGGGAATATTGGCAACGACCTGGCTCCTCACCAGAATGGAACAACTCCAACCTTGAAGCCGGGAACCCAATCACCGTGGTCCTTGTACGATGGGAAAGCCGATTTTTCCGGGCTATCCATGTCGTTCGTTCCTCCAAAGCCAGTCAGCGATTTAAGTGTTGGACAGGAGCACTTCACGAAGAAACAGCAAAAATCTCGCCGTCTCTATCAGCCTCTTAACGACCTCAACACTTTAAACAGTCAAGATACCCTCACTACTATCAACCGCTCTCCGAGTAACGATATTGAGCCGAAGTCCTTTTACCCTTTTGAGGCCGCATGTCCTCAGGCACTAGACCATGTTTACGCAACAAGCAATGGTGCAAATGCCGGATCATATTCTTCGCCTGTTTCTTCGGAACGCAATTCTTCCACGCACTCTACTACTTCCAGCTTTGAGAACGGATGTACCAAAGTTTGCCCGGACAATTTTTACTTTGAGCGTACTGCCAGCATGACCAGCCGTATCTTCGACATCAACGGAGAGTGCGATCTATTCGATTTGAGTCTCAACGATGATGTCCGGACTCAACGTCCAGCCTTTTAAACGTTGCGTCACGTATTTCGAACGGAGCTAACTTTCACCAATGTTAGCAAGGCAGATTAGCAAGCGCTCACCAGAGTTTGGACACTATTTACAATCTTTATACCCTCCTTTTTGACAAGCCAATTACGGAGGAAAAAAAAAAAGAGCTGTTATTGGTTTCAATTGGAGAACAACACAAATATGATTCATGTAATTGGACAACAAAGAGGATTTACCTCCATTACATTGGATTATATACTTGATACTGCCAGCTTCCCGGTCCTGTCACTTTTATCCCGCTTGGAAGTTTGGCGATTTGTTTAAATATTTATTGTGGCATGAGATGCATCGTTCGTTAAATGCATCGGCACAATGCTAGTTAGGCTGAGGCTTTGTCCAGCTCATATTTTCTAAATTGATGATTCTTTCGATTTCTTATGTGTTTGCCCTATCTTGTTGTTATTACACTGTCTTGTTCTACGTGTGGCGTGTCCCAGAATGTCCTTGATTCCTCGCCTTGCTGTATACAGACTGATAACTCTTCCCTATGCCGCAGCTGTCTGTTGTTGGCATATCTTCTGGTCCAGATTCTTATTATTGTTTGCTCTTTGCTTTTCAAATTATGTATTGCGATGTGTTTGTATTCTGCTGATGGATATTTACTGCCCCTAAAATTCCCTTAAAAGAGACGAGATGTTTCCCTGTGATGTATCAATAGCAAGCCAAAATGCATTTGTTTAAACTCATGCCTCTATACTAAATTCGACGTTTCAATGATGTCTTATTTTTCAATATCTGGCTCGAAGGCTTGGCCCCCTCAACACCAACCACGAGAATCATTCAGTGACAAAGTTGCACTATGCGCATGAAATGATAAGGCTTGAGATTAGTATAAATCTCTGATACAGTCTATTTTCCTGTGAAAGCAGCCAAGCGAAATATAGTACATACATACATACAAGAACAAATTCCCGCCTGTGGCGAAATCTAAAACAACAAGCAGGTATACCAGTTATTCCCGTTACCCAACACCAGGATTGAACATTGAGACTTATATCGTGGATGTCTCTACCGTACCGAACGCTGTCTGAGAGGATTCCGCCCTCGCTGGACTCTGACGCCAACAGCTTCCTTCTGACCGGCGCCCACACCACGAGGACTCGCCTGGCTTAATCCGGGCAAACTTCGGACTGCAATTGCAATAGCCTCATTCCCATCAACCACAGGAAGCTTTTGCAGCGCAATCTCGCGCTCCTTCCTTTCCTCCGCCAGCTCCTCTGCCCGCTTCTTCGTCATGTTCCAACGTGAGGGGAAATTCAACGGCGGCTTCCTGGGTTTATGATGGCGCAAATCGAGCGGGATGTCAGCGAAGGAATCGCCTTCTTTCGCTTCGGTGATTAGGCTTTGGACTAAATCGCCCAAGTATCGCTTATTTTGAGCGCGAGTGGGAAATTTCTCGCAGGACATCCGTATGGTATCCTTATCTGGGTTGTAGCGAGGGCCTACGATTTTGAGGAGAGTGATGCGTTGGGCCTCGGTTAGGTAGGTGGGCCTGAGATCTTTGGAACAGAATTCGACGACGACTTTGGATTCGGCGGGGTGATTTTCGCCCATGTACGTGGTGTAGCGGAAGCGGAGGATCTGGTCTTGTTGAGGAAGGTGAAAGGGTTTTGCAAGTGCTATGTATAGCGAGCGATTAGTCTGTGGAATAAGAGAATCAAGGGGACTGAACAAGATCAAAGGCCAGAGGTTCAAGTACCGGTCAATGAGGGCATATCCCAAGCGATTATGCGGGCGTATTCTCTCAGCTCACGATGCTGCTCGAGTTCCGCGTGCGCCATTGAAGTAATGGTATCGTCTTTGAAATTGTCATCATCGGGCGTCTTCGCATATTCGTCCGGATCGGCGTCGCCCCAGAAGCCGACTTTTACTCTTCGCATCTCGGTATCCAGCGGTGCATCTCTCTCATCGATGCTGTTGAATGCACGCTGTAATTCATGCCGCATGACCTTCTGCATTTCCGGAATATCCGCGAAGTTCCCACTGTCTAACAGCGGGTCGGTCGCTTTGCTCTTCCTGTGGAATGGAGCTGGGGTCGCTGAAAACCGACGGTGGGATTGCCAGGCAATTGGGCACGAGCATCTCGTTAGATTCTGCCCAGAAGGCGTTTGTCTTTTAACCGACGAAGCCAGCCGGCTTAGGGATCTTGCAGATGTCGCCATAGCTGGCCAATTCGACGAGCCAAACACCCTGAAGACTGGCGGCGCTTTTTTGGTCGTTGAGAGTTTGATGCGCTTCACGTTTTGCGTTGAGCTGCCTCGGAATATATATTTCCCGCTTAGCGCCAATCGCGCGGTCCGCGGGAATCGACACGCGCGTCAATCGCAGTGAATGTCAAACTGGCGGGACTTGGACGCCGGCGAGGTGCGTCAGTGGGCGACATTGCAAATGGAATGACACTGTTAGTGCCTCTTTTCACGCGTTGCGATTCACACATTATGCTACTGAACTCGTAACCGCATGCTAGCTCTGATCCGCTTATTGATTCAGGCGCCCTTGATTCAACACTGAAGCCATGAAACAGGCAACAGATATCCTCCACCGGAAGAAGTGGAAGATGGACCCAGAGAAATACACTTCTGATGACCCTGAATCGCGAGCGAAGCTTTGCTTCGTAACGGTTGGTGCGACTGCCTCCTTCAACTCCCTTGTTCGGGAGGTCCTAAGCCTACCTTTCCTCGGGGCGTTACGAGAGCAACACTACACCCACCTTCTCTTGCAATTTGGCCAACTGGGATACGAGCTTTTTGATGAATTTATCAGAGAACACGGCCCGGATCTAAAAGAGAAATTTGGCCTGAGGATAGAAGGGTTTGACTACAACATAGACGGCCTGAAAAAGGAGATGATGGCTGTCAAGGCCAATGCCGGCGTTCACAGGGACGAAGGGATGATCATCAGCCATGCCGGTAATATCTATCAAGCGGTTCGCATTCGTTGCTTTTAGAATCAGCGACTAATACCATGCTTGCGAAAGCACAGGATCTGGGACCATCCTCGAAGCAATGCGTTTTGGTGTCCCACTGGTTGTAGTACCGAATCCTGAGCTCTTGCACAACCATCAAGCCGAGCTCGCCCACCAGTTGTCGTCCGTGGGATACGTGATGTATGGCAAACTCGGGTAGGCCTTGTCTTGTGTTATTTTCGATAAGTCTTAGGACCATCAGTGCCATATATTTCTTAATATTAATACGCATCAGATCCCTCGCCTCTACAGTCGCAGAAACAGAACAGTTTCGAACACATCTACATGCGTGGCCTCCCGTTTCTGGCAACCAAGAAAAGCAGCGTCGTGGCTTAGTGGGAGTTATGGAGGATGAACTAGGCTTCGTTGACTGAGAACACGTCAAAGCTCTACACCAAATCCGTCATACACGAGGTGGTGACAATTGCGAGGTTCAGATCCATCCAATTCCGCGATGCAGCCTTTTTGCAGCTTTCTTGAACCTGCTGGATCAGCCAGAGTTCGACTGGTTCTCCCCTTGCGTTTCAAGCTTCCTACAGTTGAGGAGCAAGGCCTAACTATATATTCCCCGAAAGCCCGGGGGTAGCCATATACACAATGCTACTGTTTATCTATCGTTCTTGAGGAACAGCTGATGTCTCCTACCAATGTCTCTTGTGATTGATCGCGCAGATTACGGTTAGCTATCGAGGGAAGGCCTCTGTCTGCCCAGTATACCAATTAGATAGTGCCGTATCAGACGAAATGTCTGTAGGAATGTCACCATAATTCTCCCCAAAGTTGCTAAAAATCAAGTTCGATATCAGCCACTAAACATCTCTTTAATATCTCATGGTGAGCTTCTTGAAAGCAAATTGATTTAGGGCGTCACAAAAAGCGCCAAACAAGGAGCCTGCGATGTGAAATGACCCTAGGTAAAAAGAGATCATTTGATTTATGGATGGAGGTCAGTTTGTTGAATTGGATTCTCCTGAACACCAAACAAAATAAGTTGTCCAGACTCAAAACACCATAAACACTCCACCAAACCCGATCAACCGGTGAATGTGAAGCGCGCCCACCACCGCAATTCCCTAAATAACCATTCGCCCTTTCAAGGAAACCCTGCATATTTCACAGAAAACTACTTCAAATGCCCCATGAGCTGTGATTCACGCTTCTCTCGCCTCGACAACACGCGACCCTAAGCCCCTACACAATCAACCCTCCGCGCCCCGAATCATGGCCGAAGCAACCCTTCACAACGCCCCTATAGTCCTAGACAACGGCAGCGGTACGATACGCGCCGGTTTCGCCGGTGAGGACCTCCCCAAATGCTATTTCCCTTCCTTCGTCGGCCGACCGAAACATCCACGAGTCCTCGCCGGTGCTCTAGAAGGCGACGTTTTCATCGGCCAGCGAGCTCAAGAGCTCCGCGGCTTACTCAAAATCAGATATCCGCTTGAACATGGCATAGTTACAGATTGGGATGATATGGAGAAGATATGGCAGTGGGTGTACGAGGGGGAACTAAAGACGCTGAGCGAAGAGCATCCCGTGCTGTTGACGGAGCCGCCGCTGAATCCGCGCGCGAACAGGGATACGGCGGCGCAGATTCTGTTTGAACAGTTTAATATCCCTGCGTTATATACGAGTATTCAGGCCGTGCTGTCGCTGTACGCGTCCGGGCGGACGACGGGAATTGTGTTGGATTCGGGAGATGGTGTGTCGCATGCGGTGCCGGTTTATGAGGGTTTTGCGATGCCGAGTAGTATACGAAGGATAGATGTGGCTGGGAGGGATGTCACAGAGCATTTACAGCTGTTGCTACGGAAGAGCGGGTATGTCTTTCATACGAGCGCGGAGAAGGAGGTGGTGAGGATGATCAAGGAGAAGACGACGTACGTAGCATTGGATCCTAAGAAAGAGGAGAAAGAGTGGTCTACCGGGGTAGGAAAGCAGGATGCGAAGATACAAGAATATGTCCTGCCAGATGGGCATAAATTAAAGGTATGTCTCATTGCTCGTTTGATATTTTCACGAGTTGTATTCTGACCAAACCGTTCTACAATTCCAGGTCGGTGTAGAACGATTCCGTGCCCCCGAAATCCTCTTTGACCCTGAGATAATCGGCCTCGAATACGCGGGTGTACATCAAATTGTCGTCGACGCGATCAATCGCACAGATATGGACCTCCGTAAATCACTGTTCGCTAATATCGTTCTCTCTGGCGGCTCTACTCTCTGCAAAGGCTTTGGAGACAGGTTACTTCATGAAGTACAGAGACTAGCTGTAAAGGACATGAGAATTAAAATCTTTGCACCACCAGAGAGGAAATATAGTACGTGGATTGGAGGCAGTATTCTCGCTGGATTGAGCACGTTTAGAAAGGTATGCTCTATGGCCTCTCCCTTGAAAGTTTTGAAGAGGTGCAAGTTTACTAACTCGGCTTATAGATGTGGGTTAGCATTGACGATTGGCATGAGAATCCAGATATCATCCACCAAAAGTTCACATAACGGCTATAGATCCACTCATTAAATCAAGATATCCCCGTGAAGTCGCTGTACCTTAATACCCGATGTGTACTATTTTTGTACAATACCCAGCAATTTTTCTTTTATCCTTCCAGCCTTCTCTTCTATGCTCTTCTTCGCCCTTCGCGTAAGGTTCCGATTTCTCTAGGAGAGCGTTCCTTTTGATACCCAAATGATATTTATTGGATTGGGAGAGATGACCATACTCAAATGCCTTAAATCCAGCGTTCTGAACACCGTTGCTAGCGTGTTGATGCTCGAGAAACCCGATACCCGTCAAAGGAGAAAATACATACGGCCCTATAGGAACCTTGCAACAAATCTACATGCGTTGTCAGAACGTACAATGGAACTCTGAGAATTGACCACGCACTATTTTGGATGTTTCACAGATAGCCTGCGAGGTATTTATTGGACTTGAAGGGTTGTCGTGTTTGTATTCAACTTGTCAGGCGTGCAATAAGCGGTTTGGTGGGGGTGACGTAGACGGCTAATGCTTCATAATCCATATTAGGGCTGCATAGCGCATCAGCCAGGGGAGGACGAACGAGAAGATCAAGTGCGGTGGGATGGGCTGCATAATTTGGGGGTAGCGAGAGGTATCTACGTGGCATGCACCGTATCAAATAGCTTGTTGCAAAATGACTTCAAAAGAAATGGACGGAAGCAGAAGTTTCAGATATAATTTTATTTGGCTATTAGAGGTACATTTGTAGGTAGTAACCTACATACCAGCTCATATGAGCTACTCTATTTATATCCCGAATACCGAGAAAAGACAACACAGAGTAGCCGGAGCTCGAACACTTTTGATTTCCCAACAGTGAGAGTTGGCGAAGTAGTGATGTTGCAAGGTAGCGTAGGCTAGTGCGGGTAAGAGAAATGGTCGGTAGCGATATACAGTCGAAAGGGACAGGTGTGCATAGTCGTAAAATACGTTTCGGTCGTTAAAAATGAGGAAAATACGGATATTAGAAAAATCTAGGTTCTGGGAAATGATCGAATTGGTCAAGGCTGCGAAACGTCGACAGAAATGGGGGCGATATGTCACGAAGGAGGATGCTTGAAGCTCGCTCGCCATGAGTCGGCATCTCTCTTGTTCCAGGCGGCCTTCTCCAAGTTTGCAGAAGCCGACGAGCTTCCCATGCTGGAAGTAGTACTTTGTTTGCGAGCGTAATTGCCGCTGTAATTGCAGCTGCTGTTGAAATGCAACTGATTGTCTTGATGGAAAGTGTTTGTGCCGCCACTTCTCCCGACGTGAAAAACGGGTGCCACGTCCTTCTCGCGCCTTAGTTCGTATTCTAATTCTTCGTCGAAGCTGAAGATCGCAAGCTCGCTGCTACTGCAGGTATGAAGGCTTCCGCCACTGGAGCAAAATTGCTTCGGACGCGTGGAGGAGATACGTTTTAAGGAAGGCAGGTTGTTGACAGTGTTATTTTGGAGGCCAACGGTATTGCCTGCGCCGGGTCTGCCAGTGTAGACAACTTGTCTTCGGTTCGCAGTTGGCGCCGAGTGGAGAGGTTCGACAAGACGGTATGGAGACATGCTATTATAAAATCTTTGTGAACCGCGTAAAGTCAATGCAGTCTTCGTAAAGGCTCGATTCAAAGTCAAAACGACCTAGAAATCTTTGCACCGACAAGAAGAATTGATTGTCAACTGGTGAAAGAGTGGACGGTGAGCACTATAAGAGGAAAGCTTTGTGACGAGGTTCCAAACGAGGCAGATGACAAGGGGCAATGGTATCCCTGCACGTGGCCATATAGCCCGAGAAAAAAAGGAATCGAGAGGTTGAAGTATGTATATGTAGCTTTGACAACGGGTCTGCTTAATCCTTTTATGTCATGCCCCTAAATATAACGGACTGGAAACACGCAAAGGTCTAGACTGAGCAGTGTGACGGTCCGTTTGGTGAGTCGAGCGGATCACCTTGGTGGAGACAGGAGAAGATGGTCGAAGCAGAGAACAGATGGTTCCTGTCTGACTTCGGGTGGCCAAGGGCTGAGCCTGGCAAGGTATCAGGAATTAAGATTAAAATACATCCCAACATGCAGAGATTTCTGGCGGTGACGCCTTCTGGCCAATTCAACGGAGCCCATGGATTTGTCTCAAAGCCGCCAAGGTACGCGGTGCACAGTCTCTGAGTACCTGGCATCCCCGCGAAGCCATCGTTGATCGCCAGGTTTCTGGTCTCGAGCCACAAGTCACCCAGCAAATGGCGGCGAGCACTGGACCTGCATCCTGACGCCATCCCCCCGCATTATTGGATGGTTCTCGGTTCCACGTTCCAATGGAGAAGCGGTTAAAAGCAGCGGCAGGGAGAGAGTTTTGGGGAATCGCAGGTTGATGGCATTGATTGCGCGAATTGGTCGTTTTCTGCTTGGACTTAGACGGTGCCAATCCTCGATCGTCAAGTCACCCGACATCTCACCCGCATGGGGCCGTTGATGAAGCATTCGTGTTGTTTGTCGTGATGTGAACAGCCGGCATGGAGGGCCTCGGACGCTGGGGCTTGCCGCTTTGGGCTTGGCGCGGTTGCTGTTTTTAGCCTCAAACCTTGCGAGTCAGGTGATGGTGGCTGACATAAGCTGTTTTATTTCGTAACAGAAACCGGCCCGCTAGCCAATAGGAACCGGGCGCGACACCATACTGTTACCCGGTTACCTGGATCACGTCTTTCGGTGACTTCTATGGGAGTCGCTGGACTTGATATGTTTGAGAAGTCTGTCCAGCTCTTGAGTTCCGTGCTTCCGCGACCCAGTGCCTGGCTGGCGAGGGGGATCGTCACTCATCGCCGCATGGGACTGGAGGACGGTTTGTGTTCAGATGAGGCTTTTTCCCTTCGTTTTCGCCGAGTCTGGACTGAGTGACTGGCCGCTTGGTCTTCCCAGGTCGATTAGCTGCATGGCAAACTCCTCCAATTGGCAGGGATCGCTGGAGCACCCTTGGAGACAGGGTGATGTCCTTGGGCGGAGGTGTTTGGACCTTTCTCCGACATCCAACAAAGTGCGCCAAGTTCGAGCTTTGAGAGCTCTCCAATCCTACGTGGGACAGAGTCAAACATAGGAGACTTCTCCAGGCAGGAACGGAATTCCTGCAAGGCTAACGGCGTGTGATAGTTGGCTCTCCGTCTCAGGAGCAGGAGTGGTCATCGACAGTGCAGCTTTCATCCACTCGGATGGTCTTCTTCTCCGCCACAGTAGCATTTGGGTGTGGCGCCCCCCCCGCTCTGCTGCAGAAAATAGATAACTAGAGCATGTTTGTTCTGTTTGGGGAGTTGGTTCTCCTCGTTCGTTAACCACTTAGTAAGCTTTTATCGGCAAACAGTGCAAACAGGAAGATTCTGCCAGTTTACGCCGCTATCACGAACATCGCCACTAGTCTGAATTCGGTAGTCCTCGTCGTCTTGGATCGCGCAGATCAAACCGACCACATTCTCTTGCCGTTGGTACTTGACGCTTTTCTTCCGAAGAAGAGACAAATACGGAGCTTTAACCTATTTTTGAGTATTTGCGCTGTGTGGTAACGTCACGTATTATTCCGTCTGCCTATTCATTTCCGTCGATTGCGCCAGAGATTCACCGCGACCTCCGATAGAATAGAATCGACAAATATCGGAGAGGTTATTTCTGCGAACGCAAGGTTGATTATTGTGCAATCTGCATTAACTGCAAGACTACTGGGAAAAGCTACCTGTCCCATTGGGACTAACAGGTCAAAATGCCGAAATATAAGTTTCTCCCGACCAAGCCCTTGCGAAATACCTATGCTAACTATCGATGCACTCTTCTGTAGGTTTCCACTTTACCATTCGATTTGAAAGTCCGGCTTGCGGGTCGTTATCCATCTGCCAACAGCTCACCATGGAGCCCAAGGAAGGATGAGCCAATCGCTTCTCTGATTCGCTAACCTGGTGCTCTCCGGATTTTAGGTGACTACTGCGATGTTTACTTGACCCACGACTCCATGAGCGTACGGAAAGCCCATAATGCAGGTCGGAATCATTTGAGAAACGTGGTCGAATACTATCAACGTGGGTTGTCTCTACGTCTATCCTAACCGGTATCACTTTCCAATGGCGGCTAATCGTTTTTCATTCAGAAATCGGCCATGAAAAGGCCCAGTCAGTTATCGACTCTATTACATCCTCGTATGCAGCAGAAGGCCAAGCTGCGGCCAATCCTATGCTCCAACAACCTGGTATTCCCGGCGTCCCCGGCGCATTACCCCCACCTCCATTTGGATTCCCGGGTAGGTCCAGAAAATTCATATTTTGATCACCCGTTGTGTTCATAGTTTCTGAGGACTGACCTGCTTTCCAGGCCGGCCCGGCTCAATACCACCACCACCATTTGGAATGCCTGGTACCCCAGGAGCCCCACCGCCCGGCATGATGCCACCACGTATGTTCTACTCCCATTAGACAGCCGTCTTATTATCAGCGATATGCTAACAAAAGGCCGCCGTTAGCTCCTGGAGGTCGAGGTATGCCATTTCCACCTCCGCCAGGTTTTCCCGGCGCTCCACCACCAGCCTCTGGCGCAGGCGATTTTCCTCCTCCGCCCGCTATTCCTGGTATGATTCCACCCCCCGGTAACATCCCGTTCCCACCTCCGCAACCAGGAGGCTCGTTCGTACCACCGCCAAACTTCCCATTCCCTCCCCCTGGTGCACCAGGATTTCCTCCGTCACCGATGAATGCCGGGCCACCTGGTGGACCTAGCCCTGGGCCGCAGACTCCTGGTTCTACGCTTCCGCCAGGGGCAGGACAGGGATTTCCGCCTCCGCCGGGTGGCGGGATGCCATCTGGTCCGCCGCCTGGGCTGGCTGAGCAGAAATAATTTGGCAAGATATGTTTTCCTTCAATTATTCTCCTCAATATTTCTTGGGCGGCTTATTTACTCTGAAGGCAGATCACTGTATCAACATATGTACCCTTTCTTGCTTCTCTCTTTTTCCGTTGCCCCGTTTCTTTTTTCAAGCGTTCTTCAAAAACAGGAACATCTAAAGCCCATAGATTAAACTCTACAAAATAGTCGAAAAGCAAATGGATTGATATCTAGGACAATTAGTTCACCATCTAAGCGACCTTGAAATCATGGTCTATACTAAGTAATATACCAGGAGCATTGATTAGAGGAATAGGTTTTGCTGGGGTTTGCACGAAGCTATAAACCGGCAACTGAATAGATACATTGAATAATAGTTGTGCCTCTCAAAAGACGGAAAAGGCGGAGAAGGAAATATGCAGAGGTCATCATAAATTAACATGAAAGGGAAAGAAAAAGCTCAAAAGGAGAGACAGTCCACTCTCAGCAAACGCCTCGATAGTAGAAAAAAGGAAACAGAGGAAAATCCTAACCGCCAGGTGGTAGTTTGTACTATGCACCGTATTGCAAATCGGTTGAACAAGGGAGAGTAATAAACAGAAGGCAAAAGTGACCCTGAAGTTGACCAAAGAATATTAACAGATTACTCCATACACACTTGCACAATTCTATGCATATTCCGCAATTGTTTACAAAGAGGATAGGAAGAGTAAGACGGAAAAATCACATTAGAAAACTGAAATTAGTGGTCATAACCTGCACCTCTCTGCCACGGACTCGCACTATTTTGCATCCGATATTGATGCGGGTTAGAATTCACAGATCCACTTCTGTTGAAGGGTGAACTAGTATATGCCCTTGGCACAGGGGATGCGTTTTGCGCTCGCCCGTAAAAGTCTGTGTTATCGCTATACATGCCACGCTGGTCATGTCCTGGAGACATGTGGGGAGGGGAGTGAGCTTGGTGGTTGTCGCCCATTGGGAAGAGTGGGACGGACGTATCTATTGGAGAATGAGGCGTTTGTCGCATATTCGGTTGTGATACGGCGAGTCCGGGACCGTTGTCATGTAGGGAGCCGGTATGGGGGCGATTGAGAGAGTTGTCTGAGAATGAAGTTACATCATCATCAAAAGCCTTTTTCGGTTCGCCTCGAGCAGTGGCGCCAAGGGCGTCGAGCTCCGTAGTGAGTTGGGTCTGTGATTTGATAAAGGAACCACGGTCGTCTCTCATGGGCTGATATCGCGTATCCGGGTTTTTGGATACAATCGCGTAGATAGAAGCAATGAGGACGAGCACCAACAAAATGAGTGCGAATGCGGCGTTAGCAACGAAGAAAACAACCCCCATCACACCAGTTACCAAACCCTAGATCGTATCAGTAAATAAGGTCTGCTGTATGATTAGGATTGGAAACATACCGGCTGGTTGAAGATTTCTGTGAAGAAGAGTAATAGAAGCACATTGAAAAAGTTAAAGGAGGCAATGGAAATATTGAAGATGTTGGTCTTCTTGTCCATCCAGGGACGGAAATAACACACTCCAACCAGGACTCCAAGTTCGATAAAGAATAATGCAAAAGCTTGCACCCTAGGAGCCTCCTGACTCAATGCGATGAACATGCCTTTGACAAAGATATAAATCAACATCGGAACGACGAAGTAGTACGCCGTAGCCCGATATTGGATGTAAAGGAAACCCCATTTGTTGAGCGCGGATGGATCCGAGTAGAGGATGTATGCAGGGTTTTTATGCATCACGACTGACTTTTTTGCAAGACGAATAACTTTCCATGCAGCCCAACCCAGTGAGGCAATAAGAGATAGAATCATCACCACCGCAAGCACAACCTCGGCGGCGGAATCCCTTTGCGTCATTTCCCATAAGCAGAGAATGCACATTTGGGGGAACCCAATCAGCGTCTAAAATTTGACAGCTTGTTAGCTCAGATATAAAAATATGTAGTTGAAATCTCTCTGAGAACTGACCAGTCGGAACAAAATGCCTCTCATTACAATTCTCCAGCCATTTCGGAAGTCCTGGAATTTGTCACTCTTCATTCTGCCAGACTTAGCGAGTAATTCGCAGACGCCTTTGAATCCGGCAATGAAGCCCATGACCACGGCGACGAAGACGACAAAGAATATCAAACCCGTCAGGAATATGTTGGTACGCTCAATGCGAGCGCGGAATCCAACACGTTCAATGCCGCGAATAATTGCGATGGCACTGTTCTCAGTAACGCCCTCATCCCTGTTAGTGCGCTTTACGAGGTTGGTGACAGTCCTTGCGAGAAGGCGATGGGTAAAGTCAACTGATCGCTTCTGCAGTTGAACAGACGTATTTGAGAGCGACTGCAAAACCGTTGCTGGTTCTCCGCCTGTTGCACGCTGGTACCAGGTGGCAAGTCTCTGGAGAAAGCCAACCCGAATGATACCCATACTCCACTGGAAGTTCTGTGTCCAAGATTGCACAATCGGGGGTAGTTTCACACTGGACATGCCAATCATAGCTTGTGACTGAAAGAAGCCGAAGAGAGAGAGCGCATTTGCTGCAACATGGGCGGCAGTGTTGGAATGTCCCAGTCCGGAAGTGACCGCGGACGCAACCAAGCCCAAGCCTGCGATTACAGCTACTATCCAGGCCACGGTTTTATGGTAGACGGTCTTTCCGTTGGAGAGCGAAGCTTCAACACAGGCAATACTTCTCCTTTCCTTTGTCGAATTTACATAGATTCGCACTTTCAAATCGAGGTCAGGTACGCTATAAGCAATCCCTGAATGCCGTTGTTAGTGCTCACATCGTCGAAACATCGCGGGTGGAGTTTACCTGGAACTTTGTTGATGATGTCAGGGGAAAGATTGTTGATATTCGACTCGAGTTTGATTTGACCTTTATTCATTGGACAAAGGCCCTCGAGTTCTAGATCGCAGGGATTGACATTTTCCTTCAGAGCAGTAAATCCATAGGCAATCAGTTCCACTACTGCTGTGATGTTGCCTTCGATAGATGAGATACCAAGGGCTTCAACAGATAGAGAGTTATTGTGAGGGGTAAACAAAACATTGAAAAGCGTCGCGGTGAAGTTCGAGTTATCCTGGCAAGCGACCAGCGATTTTGATTCGATTAGGTTGATGGCGGAGACCAGGGGGGAGAAGGGGAGAAATGCGACGAACGCGGAGAATAGCGTCAGCAACCTCATAGTCACCGGGCGGCTAGCAGGTCGAGCGTAAATTTATTCGGAGTTTGGCAAGTTAGGAGTTTTTAGTTATTAACCACGGCATTCGAGGGCATCTGTAAAATGCGTTCCGCTTGAGGAGAAGAGGTAAATCGCCAATGCTAGCACTTCTGGTCCACAGCGAGAGTGAGATTATTAGAGATGTGGATGATTGAAAGCGACAAGCGATCGTCCCTGCCCGTGAATGGGGAAATGTCGGTACACCGTGATAGACGCTTCCAGGCGGTATGGCAAACGAGTGACTGGTCAGTGGGCGGTAGTTAACAAGCTCGATCGGGGTGAACTGATAGTTGAACGGTTATTTATAAGGCTGGAGTGAGGGCGATTGGGTCCAGGGGAGAGCCAGGTGAGAGGACAGGCGTGAAGCGAGTGAAAGGAGCCCGTGGTCTGGGCAGATAAGTGTAGGTGAAGGAAGAGAAAGGGACAGTGAGAGAGCCGTTGAGGTTGGAAAAGGAGGCCCAAGAGGAAGATGGGAGACAGCGGCAAAGGGTGGTGATGGAGATGAAGCGACGTGAATGTTGGATGCTGGCTGCTGTTGTTGGATGATCGAGATTCGCAGGAATGTGGAGGCCAGCGGGTGCCCACTGTCTCATACACAGCGATACGGGGCCGTCAGGGGTAACTTACAAGCCAGCCGACGCCAGCCGCCAATAAGAGCGCGCCGTGGCCATATAAAGTGCTGAGTCAGCCACAACGCATGGTTCTTACATCAGCCGGGGTAACCGAATTACAGCCCCGTAACATTGCACAGCCCGCCCAATTGCCTGCACGCGCGTCCAGCCAAGCGTCATGTATAAAACCATCTGTGCTTCTGTGCTGAGAGAAGCGCTCTGTTTCTTCAGGAAAGCTGGGCTAGATATTCACAGTGGCTGGTCAATTTCAACTTATTCCCTTTTGCTGACCATCACAGCTTTGAGCAACATTAATGTGTACTGTGAAGACGCTGGTGCCGATCCCTACTCCCTGGTTCTTGTCCATGATTTCATTGTTTAACCAAAACACGTAAACTTGATTCTAGTTCTCTGGTTGATCATTTTCACAAAGTGCTGTTAACTTAATATGGTTGCAGCTCTGGTATCTCTGGCTCACACGCCCAGGTAACATATGACACAAACGGTCACCAGGTCGGAGGACTATAACTACATACTCTTATCTGTTACAGGTGTACTCTGTATGTACCTAGTACAGAGAATTAGGCCTCGAGAGGAAAGATAGTGGCGACGAGCCCGAGAATCTCAAGATGTACGGAGTATGTAGAGCTCATGGAACTTGGGGGCAGGCCTTGTCTACAATGGCGTGAAACAGCCCACGATAGTTATTCAAAGCGTCTAAAACCATTTTTCATACGGAAACGAGTCTAGCAATATGTTTCCTCCCCTGTGTACTTTGTCTCTCTTCTCTAGTTACCAGAAACGCTGAATGTCTGTTAGACTGTTGGTTAACTATCTTATCAGCACGTGACCCTATCGCAAAAAGTTTTTTGCTGAGAGCAAAACTCCAAGCAGCGATGAGCTCAAGACAGTCAACAACCGGTGCATTTTTTCGGTCCAACCAAACACCTGTGACAATGGAGACCTCGAAAGAACAGTCGAAGAAAAGGAAAAGAAAGCATGGAGGCAGCAAGAACTCCATTGCGACGAATGGCGACTCCATGAAGTCACAAGCGAAATCTGCTGTCCCTTCGAAACCGAACGGCGAGGTTGGCAAACAGGAGCTGAAGAAGCGCAAGACAAATCACTCGTCCGCAGCGAGGGAGCAAGGTTTTGAAGATGTAGATGGACTTGAGAGCGCAGACGAAGTTGTCGAAGAACGGGAAGCCAGCGAGACTTCCCAATCGCCCGTCGAACAGAATGAAACTGAAACCGCAGAGTCTGAGCAACCTGCATTACCTTCCTTGAATACTGTTTCGCTACCCCAAACCGAAAGCGAACCTCAGAAATTTTCTGAACTCAACCTTTCGGAAAAGACATTGAAAGCCATACAGGACATGGGCTTCGAAACGATGACCGAAATTCAAAGGCGAGGAATCCCCCCATTGATGGCAGGTAGGGACGTGTTGGGAGCGGCAAAAACGGGCTCAGGGAAGACACTCTCATTCTTGATACCTGCCGTCGAGATGCTAAGTGCTCTACGCTTCAAACCACGAAACGGTAGGCTATGAACTTCCATCTCACAACCTTGTGTGAATTTAAGGCTTTGGCTGATGGGCTTTTCCTATCCAGGAACCGGCGTTATCGTCGTATCTCCAACCCGTGAATTAGCATTGCAGATCTTTGGTGTTGCTCGGGAACTCATGGCGCATCATTCGCAAACCTACGGCATTGTCATCGGGGGCGCGAACCAAAGAGCCGAAGCAGAAAAACTAACAAAAGGAGTAAATTTGCTCATAGCCACGCCTGGGCGTCTGCTCGATCATCTACAGAATACCGATGGGTTCGTTTTCAAGAATTTAAAGGCCCTCGTGATTGACGAAGCGGACCGGATCCTGGAGGTTGGTTTTGAGGATCAAATGAGGCAAATTGTCAAGATCCTCCCATCTGAAGACAGACAAACAATGCTTTTTTCGGCAACTCAAACGACAAAGGTGGAAGATCTCGCGCGCATCTCTCTCCGCCCCGGGCCACTATACATCAACGTCGATCACCGCAAAGAACATAGCACGGTCGAAGGCCTGGAACAGGGCTATGTTATCTGCGATTCCGATAAACGTTTCCTCCTCCTTTTCTCCTTCCTAAAGCGAAACCTGAAAAAGAAGATCATTGTTTTCTTCTCAAGCTGCAATTGCGTCAAATATCATGCCGAACTGCTAAATTACATCGATCTTCCCGTGCTTGATCTTCACGGAAAGCAAAAGCAGCAAAAACGGACTAATACATTCTTCGAATTCTGTAATGCAAAACAAGGTACTCTGATTTGTACTGACGTTGCGGCCAGAGGTCTAGATGTATGTTCTCTCCCATTCTTCTGAAGCAAACCACGTTTACTGACTAGAAATCTAGATCCCCGCGGTAGACTGGATCATTCAGTTCGACCCACCAGACGATCCCAGAGATTACATTCACCGTGTGGGTCGAACAGCGCGTGGTGCGAATGGAAAAGGACGCAGCCTATTGTTCCTGCAGCCGTCGGAAGTCGGCTTCCTCAAACATCTCAAGGATGCTCGAGTGCCAGTAGTGGAATTTGAATTTCCAGCAAAGAAGATCGTTAACGTACAGTCTCAGCTGGAGAAACTAATCGGGCAGAACTATTATCTCAACAAGGTACAGTCTACCCCAACGTCCTCCCTAACTGCCTACCATATCGCTAACCAGATCTCGCCAACAGTCTGCGAAGGATGGCTACAGATCGTACCTCCAAGCCTACGCATCACATTCCCTCCGTTCTGTATTCGACGTCAACAAATTAGATCTTGTTAAAGTCGCAAAGGGTTTTGGCTTTCCTACACCACCTCGGGTGGATATCACTCTTGGTGCCAGCATGAGTAGGGATAAAAAGCAGCCCAACCGACGAAATTATGGGAGTCAACCAAGGCACGGACCAAAATTCAAGAGAAAAGCTGGCGATTATTAGACATGTTTATGATGTGTGAATCCGGAGTACTCTAGTTAATACCCAGAAATACTTGGAATGCAAAAGGTCAAACTTTCATTATATTTTGTGTTTTGCAGCTGTCTATCTCATTTGCTTTTGATGGCTTCGCTCTTAGACCTGCAAGTGGGCTTACAAATAAGAACATTCATACCAAGGGCTTCGACCATAAGCGTGTGGCCTTCAAGTTTCTAATGTTTTCATAATCAATGATGGGATCTCGCGGTAGCCCTTCATCTCCAGTCTTCAATATACTTCTTGAGCGGCATTGTGATCGGGGACCAAAAAGAATAGTGAACCATCATGTGCGGTCTGTCTTTTTCTTCCAACCAAAACGTTAGCACCCATGCCGTCAAGTTGCATGGCCGCAGGAAGTGAATATGGAACGGAAAGGTTTATTTTTCCGCTTGCGACTGGAGGCCGGGTCACTTCAACTCCAGTTGAGTGCTTGCCGGTGGAGTCTGCAAGAACTTGTTTGATATTTTTATCGAACGGTAGGATATAAAAAAGAATGAACGAACGAACGAGCGAACGATAGGGGACGAGAGCATGGCGATTGCTATGGAAGTATTCCGGACATAACCAGCCTTGCATATGATATCGGTCCAGATGGTCCTGAACTGCTTCACATCGCCTTCTGTGAACATAGAAGGGTTGATATGACGCACAAGTCCATTAGTATCCAGATCTCACTATTTGATCTTCCACCACCACACGCCTAAATTCTTATGCATACCAGGTAGGATCCGAATGCAATCTCCTGGTATTTTGTCTGTTATTGTTGAAGGCTCTTGGATCATATTAACACCTTGTTGATTCTTCAGTGTGTCATACACAGGATCTTGTCTCATCAGTTGCTGACTGATGCTGTGATACATTGTTCCCAGCAAAGGGCCCTTATTGAGTTTCGTGCAAATGTAATTTATCTTTGAGAGAATAATAGTTGGTTCTTTTCCATTAATGGACAGCGGGCGGAGAATGTTCCGGTGTACTGCCCAAGGTATCTATGGAGGAGGGAATGAAGGAGTTGGCGATATCACCATAATCAATATGCAGGCTACAAGGGGTTGAAAAATCCGGTGATAGTCCATATTTCCAGGTATTGAATGTCCATCGGGATGGAAATGTTATTGGCGCCCTGTAGCCGTTCTGAAAGGCATTCCGCTAGGCCCAACATTTTGTCGCTGGCCAGCTCCCGAAGCCCGAAGCTGTGTCTTGAGGGCTCACGTCAAATCGGACACTGATCATTGCCACTTTTGTAGGTATACAGTTTTGCGCCGTTATCCGACAGTAATTCTCGGGAAGCACCATAGTTGACCTCGATATCATCGTGGAGGAACTATCCATTTCGATTTGATGGCTCGGTTGGAGTGAAGCTCGTTCGCCATGGATCCGCATACTTTAACTGGCTTGTTTTTGATCTCTCTGATGGTCATTGGCTGCTCGCGTCCTCCCAGCCCACTGTTCGCGAGCTGGCTTGTCGATGTCATTGATAAGTCTGCGACTCATCGCAGTCTTGTTGAGCAGCACGGCCCAACCTACTTGAGAAGTAGATTAAGCCGCAGAGGTTGATAGTTAACCTGTTGGACCACGGCGGACAACAGCGCCTATACAACACGGCAACTGTCAGCGTAACGTGTCTCCAAATGCCTCACAAGCAACACAAAAGGTATAACCAGATCCAACGCAAGACTCACCTACAGGAACACATGTGTTTGCTTTGAGTTCTGACTGGTTTTAAATTCCTTTGGGCAATAGGTTCAAGAAACTCTGCAGGGACTCTGATATTCTTCTCCATGTCGCCAGAGAATGGATATGTGAGGGTCAAAATGGGCCTGTATGGCTCCATTCTGACAGATAATGAACGTAAGGAAATGCATCCGTTGGTGACTCTGATATTCTTCTCCATGTCGCCGGAGAATGGATACGTGAAGGTCAGAATGGGCCTTTATGAGGCAGATAATAAATATAAGGGAATGCATCTGTTGGTAACTCTGATATTCTTCTCCATGTCGCCGGAGAATGGATACATGAGGCCCAGAATGGGCCTGCTTGTATTGCTCCATTCTGACAAATAATGAACATAAGGATGTGCATCCACTGGTATCCATTGCACATCTCAAATATTTGCCTGAATTTGATAGGCTTTTATGATTTTTAAATCTTATATGCCCAGACAGTTCATTTTCCGTATCATAAAACGGTACAATCCACCCGATATTTTAGGTGAATTGGACCGAAAGGTGAGGAAATATGGTAAACTCTGAAAATAGCTCCGTGCAAAGTTGGTTGAGATTATCCCGCTGTGTAGCCCAATCCAATAAGGGAGTCACTACATAGAGTAACAGCCCACTGGACGGCCTCAGTAATGGCCACCTGATAAATCAGTTGTCAGCAATGGTGGACTAGCTTCAAGAAAGGAAATCACGACAAGAAGTATCATCAATTTTGCATCAACTGCACTCACAGACAAGCAGACACGGCGCACACTCTTGCTCCTAGACAAGTTAAAAAGCCCAGGTCCTTCATATAAACCAGGATATCATGCCTCTTTTATAGTATGAGAAGCTGTAGGCTGTAAGGTGTGATCACGTCACTTCCACACCACCTTCACGTCACTTTGATCTTGCATTCAACTCTATAGGGTCCAAACAGTAAACCTGTTTGTGAAATAGTAGAACAGTAAGCCGCGCTTTGTACTTAATGGTGTTCAACTAGAAGTCGGCTGCTGATAAGAATCTTATATTGTTTAAAGCCTAGAATCAAATCCAATAATAAGTGACTGTAGAAATGTAAAAATCCCAGGGAAACATATGGAGAGCGTACCTTGATTAGCCTAAAGGCCGGCGGATCTCAAGAAATACTGAGAAATAAACCAAGCAGCAGCGTCGATAGCTGCTAAAGCATTAAGGGGATTTGAATAGCATTAGATTGGGTATTTAGGATTGTTTATTATATCAGTGGTGCTGCGCGTAAGGTCGTATCGGAGATGTCGGGAAACAGGAGAGAAGAATTGTGAAGGAAGGTTCTCAATATTGATAGAAATCAAGTAGCTATGATATAGGAGCACCCAAGCATAAGCAAAAATCAAAGCAAGCTACTAGTACAAGGTAGTTAGTAGGAACTGAGAAAGCGAAAAGAGAGAGATTCTCGCTCCTTTTATACCTCAGTTGATCACGCTAGTGGCCATACTATGCGTGAACGGGGATCGAAAGTATTCACCGACTGCATTGAATGTGAAGGTGAGTGAATGGTTATAGCCTTTGATAGAATTCTCCCAATGTAAAAATGGCCACATGGCTGATCAAGGGTAGTTGGAAATAAACCTGCAAAAATGCTGCTTTTATTAACAGGGCCATTATAGTTGAGTCAAGCTGAATGACCCAGTTTCTTTGCAATTGGGATGCCTAGGTTTGTCCAGTTCCATTATCCTCGATGGGGCTTTGCTTAGCAAAATTGTTCCCTATGGATCATCTCTCAAGTAAGGATGCTCATTATACCGACCTTGTGAATTTGCCTGACTGTACGCGTACCAGAAGGATAATGCCGACGATCGAGGCGCAATGCCGATGTACTTGATACCACCAGCAGAGACCACAAGAGTCACTTTCAAAACAATTACCTACATTTCCAACTGATGAAAGGGTGTCTGGGAAGCCGTCGTCCCACGAAGTGTCAGTATGGATCGGAAGTCGGGAAAGGTCCCGCGATGCATCGGGGTGTAGCCGCCCCTTTTCTTCGCTCCCGTCTTTTATACAAGAGGGGCAGTCTCCTTGAGCCGTCACACCGCAAAGAAAGGGCCTCGAAGCTTCTATTCCTAAAGCAGTTAATTGGCCAGCATACGGGAACGTGCGGGGTGGTAAAGCAAAGGTAAAACATCATCCCGATCTACAGGTATCACACGGGCTATCAGTCACACAGTCTGCAAAATATCGGGCAAGGAGCGTCTCAGCTCACCAAGGCGAAAGATCTAGTCACATGACGTTCTCCTGCTACCTCCGCTTGTCGAAGGCCCGGGGTAAGCAGAAGCACTGATGCCGCCTACGTCGTTGTAGCACGGGGGGCAAGGAAAAATAGACCAGGCTGGAAGGCGGAGTAATACTGCAGTTGGGTAGTAATCTAGAGAACGCCTAACCACCCACGCAGTAGACTGCTTTGATATCCCTGTTGCCGTCAAGAGTGAACCCTTAAAACGTGGGTTCAGAAGGCGAGATCGCCAATGCTAGAGAGCGAGATCCAGGGGAAGAATATCCAACTTCATCCCTATTGGAGCAAGGCTACCGAGATGATGTAAAGGCGGGAGAGCCCTGGGGCAGGAAATGAAAGGAGGGGGAGACATTGATTTCAAAAGCCTTTACAGTGACACTGGTTGATGTCCTCGCTTCCACAGAGGTAACTTACATTGACTGTACCACATCCACGCTTTGACTCATGGCGGCGAGACGCTGGAGCTTGACAGGTCACACCACAGGACAAACGAAAAGTTCAGAATTAATATTTTAACTCAGTCAAACGATCACCAGACTTTTGCGAGGAAGATAGATGCAACCGCTGAACAGAGGGTGGATGATTCCAACCACGGATGCCCACCCTTTCGCTTTTTGGTCGGCCTACGATCTCGGATCCAATTAGACTGAACCGCCGCATCGGATCCTGGACCAAGGCGAATCATTCGCAGGCCGATTCCAAATCCGCAGCAGTTCTCTCAACCCGGGTCCATTACTAAAATCGAGCTAAAGTAGCCGATCGCCAGTCATTCTGTCAATCCTTCGATTATGCAAAGTGGGCATGAAACGTGAAGACATCCCGAAGGCCCAGCTAGTCACTCCGAGAAAAGTTCCATACGAGGAAGGACGCGAACGCGGGACCAATAAACGACTGGGCACGGTGTGAGTTCCGATGCATAGTCTGGATAGCAACGTAAGATCGTTCGCCTTAATGCATGATGACTGAAGGGGTAGGGAAATGTGACCATATTGCCGAATGCTCCATGGTAGCGCAAGTCCGAGCCCCTGCACCGTGCAGTAGTTTATCTGCAAGTGTTTGCGTTGCAATTATTCCCGGTATTTGAGCGGGAAAAAGGGTTTGATGAAAAGAGAAAAAAAGGCAGGTAGCATTATTGGCGGTGGCTGAACGATGCTATCATAAAATATCAATGTCGATTTCTTGTTGAGCTAGTTAGTTAACTATGTCAGTGTAGATCGTCGAACTTCAAGGGAAGTATGGAATAGCGCCATGGCAAATACATCGCGGGGCCAGGATTAGCGAAAAAGGACATCTCAACGGCGATTGGAGGGTAGGATATCGGGGGTTGACGTCGACATGGTGAGTGGGAAATGAGCGTTCCTATTTGAAGGGAATGGGCGGAACGGGTTGAGTGGGTTCACTATCAAAGCCGTTGTCAAAGGTGCAAGTGCCACATTGAGAAAACTAGCCAGCGCAAAGTAATACTGCAGCGGGTGTAGCACATGTGTGATTTGCACAACGGCTTATTTGGGGTATGAACCACAATGCTTTCAGTGCTGTTGGATATCACTACCCTTCATGAGCGTTCGGTTGAAAAGAATGAGTGTATTTCACAACAATCCTCGAAACGAAGGGGAATGAGAATAAGCAAAAATAACCCGCAGAGATTTTCTTTCTCTCGGCTTATCCAGTGTGCCAACTCGCTCGTCAAGTATCCGACGGTATGGTTACGGACCGATGTGGCGCATTTTGCATTAACCCTGAAGCTTCGCCTTCTGATTGAGAGTTGCTGGCATGGGAGCGATCCTGTCCGAGCTTTCCATCTTGGCTGTAAGGTTAAAGAACAAGACGGAACCTGATTGCATATGGTCTTCTTTGATGCATCAAGTACCCAGTACAAGCCCATCTCCCTGTGAGTTGCGGTAAGGTAATCAAGCAGGAACTGGCGTCCAACCTTCTTTCAACTTGTATTAAAGGAAACCGAAAGTCGTATGCCGAGGAACGCTGCAGAATCGTTGCTATCAGTGTGATCTCTTCCCGACGAGCCAACTATAAAGTATGCACATGGCCGCATAAAATCCCTTTTTTCCCCCAGGCTTCGAGTCGTTGCAATTTGCTTCTCGTGCTTCTTGAATTGAGCTGTCATTCGATCTGGTCGTATATATGCACTTGAACCCTTTCCCTTGATGCACGCTGGTCAATATCCTTTGGAAAATCCATAAAAATGAGCGCGCCAGTTGGGCCACGAGTATCCAAAGAGGATTTCATGCATGCACTCGGACTCGATGCGAGTAATCCTCAGCATGACCCATTGTATCGCGCAATGAGAGTGAGTGTCTTCTAGTCCACTGTGGCGGTGCTGTAAGTAAGGTTAATCCCGGACTGTATGCTAGGACGAGGCTATTGCCGTATACAATCAGATGAACCAAGGCAATTCAGATTTGCTGGAGAATATAAGAAACACTCCTGGAGTAGGGCCACCATATTTCTGGCATCATATCCGACCAGATAGACAGCAATGGGGCATATTGGAGATTTGGAGGCGCGCTGGACCTGTCACTCGGCCATTGTTCGATCGCGGCGCTACCAATGGCGAATATGGCCCTAATTGGGTAACGGGATGGTTGTTGTACAGCGTTTTCCGCTCAAGGGATATTCGCAATAACCGCAACAGAAGGAAAAACGACGACAATAACAACTCTGGGAATAATTCAGGTAATGCATCCCATACTCGCTACAAATAAATAGCCTTCCGGGTTGATATTTATTCTGCTCTCTAGGTCATGGCCAATCGAAAGGGGGCAAGAGTGCCACCACAGGAAACGAGACACAGCCCAGGACCATGGGGTATTACGATCCTGTACGGAATGGCGCCCGTTGAAAGTCCATGTGTATCTTGAGCGTGTGGGTCTGGTCATGAGATATGGTGTTGTGCTGAGAAAGACATCACCATGAACGGTGCAGCCACGGTGTTTGAGTTCCACGGATGTTGGCCCTTTTTGGAATTCCACGCGTGCTTCCCTTTTTACCTTTTTCTCGTTCAACTTCGCCCTTGTCGGTATGCCACGGTTTACCCGACGTCGGGCCCTATTTTGGTTTCTTTACATTCGCGCTGCGCACGTTGCCCGGTTGATATCTAGTCTTACACAGATTCGAATTCCAAAAGGCTATCGTTGTTTTCGAATAGATATCATTTATCGTTGGGGTCCAACGCATATCTGCACAGTATGAACCGTTGTAATCGTGATCTCAACCGAAGTGGCTTCTCGCTGTTTCGGGCACTGTGTTTCCGCCGGCACTATTTAGTTTCTGATTCTTGGCTGCTGCAAAAAGAGACGTTTCGTGTGTACGGAGTACTGCACAAGGAACGCCACTGGTCTCGTTAATCCTCGGAAAATCAGCCGCCTGCACTCATTTAAGGAGAAGCCAATGATACCCGGGTAGCATCGCGACTCCTTCAACTGTATATTTCAAGTGGTAGCCATGGTAGGAATTGTCCTTTTTTCCCCCAGGGTTACTATGTAGGTACGATGTATCCTCCAACAGTAACCGGTCAAAGAGTTGGTAACGGGATCAAGTCGACCGTCGTGATAACGTGCGTTGGATAATGAGAGAACGGAAGCAGCGGGTCGCAGCGCAATGGATGTTGACAAAATAACAACGAACCGTTCCAGTTCTCCAGGAGGTCAATAGTGAAGGGCTTCTTCGGAGGGAGAATTGTCCTTGATGTCTCTCGACGTCTCTTGACGTCCTCAAAGGTGGGCAAAAGTGGACCTATTTGTTTGCACTGTTTGACAGCCCACCAGGAGTTCTCAAAAGGCGACCTTTATTTATCATAACTCGATCACCAAGGTGGAACAAAATATATAGTTATAGGACATATCCCGGTCTCCGTATTAATTGGGAATAATTACTAAAACTAATCGCAGTGTTTGTCTACATGCTACGCAAATAATATTGAACCTCTGCCAGCCACTCTACATGGCGGATATTCATCCATAGACATAACTAGCAGTTTAGATACAGAAGTAATAATAGAAAAAGTCGTCATTTTATTGCCGGTTACATTTATCTCATCACTCTTAACATTCGATAGCCATTGGTAAACATCAAAGGATAAAAAGGAGAGAAAGGTGAACAAGAAACCAGCCCAACGCTATGATCGCAACGTGCAGCTCGGCGACGAGACACGGTTATCAAATTCTATGAAATCGTCAAGTCATCATCAACTGTTAAGAGGGTAAGCCATATTTGTTGCCATGGCATTATTTGAGACAGTGCTGTAAAACCCGTCTAACAAGAAGGGAGGCTGTGAAAACTGGAATCAGGACAAAAGCGCAATGCGGTTATCACAACATAGATCGCCTCATTTTCGTCGTAAATCGTTAACATCGTCAGGATGGATCCAGGGGACTTTGGATTGCCGTAGAGTATAGTCAAAAGACGGGTGTCAGAGTCCCCGGGGTTTAAATTGCAGTGCTCTGGTTGGTACAGAGCTCTGACGAGCTGCACCAATCCGATTCCCTTCACAACTTTGCGGGCTGCTTCCCCCGCTCCGACTACCCTCGCTTGTTGACGAGTCCGCATCGCTACAGCGGCTTCCTCGACCAGTACCAATGGCAACCGGAATCCCTTGTACTATTCCCCCATGATCGTGACCAGCGGGATACATTCCATCGTTGACAGAGAAATTCCGGCAAATCAGGTAGGCGCGCATCGCTGCATTCTCTCGCGCAAGCATTTCGGTTTCGCAAACAGTGTCGGTTTGGTATTCACGATTGTTGACGCGGACTACACAGGTATACCCCGCGGCTCCGCCGTACGGCTCGTAAAGGGGTTCCGGCCAACGGCGACGGCGGCAGAGGCCTGTGGTTGAAAAAAGCAAGTCATGTTATTGGTTGCGCAACGTCATAGATCCGTGGTAGGGCGAGAACCAAAATAAACCATCAAAATTTCCGGGGTATAACGATGGATTAGTGCATTATTTGCATAGGTTCGACAAAGGCTTGGATCTTCAACAAGAACATAGCAGCATTGGCAATAGCTCCAAGACTGGGAGCTCATCAATTGACTGGAAAACGGAGTTGCATGTTGGGAGATCAACATCTTGGGACGAAACTCGTCAAACAGGTACTTGGTACAATTTCAAACTCCGACGTTGGGCACTTAGGCCCCAGGTACAAGAACGGCATGCTGATGAATTACTCTAAAAAGACAAGAACTCGAAGATAGGGCAACATACTCGCTAGGTAGAGAATGTAGTACATTTTGATGAGGAGGATCTCCCACTCCGTCGGAGCTGAGAGGGTATGCTATTTTTGTTTGATACCCGATGATCGTCCTTAGCTTCGCCTTGCAAAGGTACCCAATGTCTGGTTTGAAAGAGGTGATAGCAAGCTAAAACGATTGACAGTTGTCCTTGGTGCCCAACGCCACAACCATTGAACAGCTTCGAAGAAGATGGGAAGGAGAATGAGGCAGTTCACGAAATTGTTAAATGAACCGAACAATCAAGGCGATACTTAGCGCCTATGGTCCTTTAGGGAAGAAATTTGAGGGTGTGTCATTGCAGAAAGACAGCGAAGCAAGCGTGTTTTAATGCAGCTTCAACCGTCCGCCATGGTGGGGGTCGAAAATGATATAATAAGGAACCCTGGCTATCAGAATCGACCTTCCATCGACCGATTCAAGATATGGTTTCGCCTTCGAAAACCAACAGGCAAGCATGGAGAGAAATCGGGAAAATCGCGATTTTCTGTTCAGTTGTGTGGAAACGGCTCCTTTTTTGCCTTTGATGTGTTGGCATGGTTCCTCGCCAGTGAGGAGCTTGACCATGAAGAACTTCCTTGCTAGCCTACCAAGATTTGATTCGCTGACGATCTTGAAAACGAGAGATTGGTGAATTCTGTGTCGAGGACTGACGCTTGAACAAGTGTCCATCGGCCCACTTGTTTGCTGCAGAGAGGATCGCGTATCGTCAGCGTGCAGCAATCAGGCTTACCGTCGGTAAAATGTCTGCGCGGAGCAGAGCTAAAAGCAGCGAGCAGCGGGATAAAGAGAGAAACCCCGCAGATATGTATGCAGTGGACTTTTTGACGCCATCTCGAGCAGGCATCGCAGGCCCAAACTCCGCTCCTGGCTTGACATTGGCATGGCGCATGTTCAACGCTGCGCAAATCGCGCTCAGAAGTCTGCGAGACCCCTGGCAGATTCTCACGCCAGGCAGACAACTCATCCGGGGAATAAAGTCTATATCGATCCCTCCACTTTCGTTGCGAATTCTTAATAGACTTCGACCTTCCCTCGTGGTAGGGACTTTCAAGGTCCCATAGGGGAGTCACCGGGCATTCACTCACTTACGTCTATTAGCATTTCCTGGAGTAAGAAACCGCAATCAATCCTCCGATTTCAATGCAAACGTTGAGTGGCTTTGGTCAACAACGGCGTTCTTGAGACGCACAGCAAAATGTGAAATGCAACATTCTCGGTGGAAGTCCAAGCGGCTCGGCTAAACTTTCCACAAACCAGCAAGTCGTGGGATCTGACTAATATGTTATTTAATCAAAGCCGATTGGTTCGCTGATTGTATTTACGGAATTTTATCGGCCCGACATTCCTTTTTCGTCTGGTGCGGGTGTCGACTCTCAACTTCACATCTACCTTTGCCGTAGGGATAGACGGCTCAGCTACTAACTGCAAGATGGATTTAGGAACATGGTGCTAACTCGACTCTTTCAGCAGGCTCTTGCGCCAACTTGTTACCCTCCCGGCTGGTAAGTCCTCTGACCATTTCCGCTGTGACATGATGGAGCAAGAGCCATTGGTCGGCAGGTCGGGGTTGTTTCGCTATAGTTCCGGCTTTAGCAACGGCAGCTTACACTAACATGGCTGCCTTTTCCTTGTCATGTTCAGAGAAGACATGCCTTTCCACCGGTGCCTGTTTCGTTGCCCTAGTGCAGCGGAATACCTTGCCCAGGAGGCAATTCCTAGCGTTTGCGTACGGCCGTGCCTTGTACCGCCGCAAATAGCTATCTTAGCATGGAATATTCCATAGGGGAACGTGGTCAAAAAATGGAACATGGTGTAAATCCGCTTCATCATTGCAAGGTCTCATTGGGAAAAGCGAAAATTACGGCGCCCTCGAGTCCATAAATTGTGCTGTGGATCGTGTCTTGCGAATGGAAATTTTCTCGCAACCCCGAGAGTCGACGGCCAACAGGAAAGTACTGTTAACGCATACATACCTCGCATACTAAGTGCTTTGCGAACACTTGCGCCCCAACACCGGTCAAAACGCACTAAAAGGATGGATGCGGACGTCTCATTCAGACCCCCTTCGCGTACCGGGGAATTATTTCAGGGAAACAAGGGACGAACCCTGCGGTTAGAAAAGAGAGGCCATGATTATGTGAAGGGATTCGAAGGACAATTCTAAAATCAACCCCGTAGCCTGGTTGGCCCTCACCCCAAATTGGCTGAAGTAGAAATTTGACTTTCCTGATACGAAGCGCTGCAATGGCCATCCCAAAGGACTGTCACGCACGAACCAGCCCGTCGGGTTAACTGATGGCGGGAATTTTCATATGGCACCGGAAAGAAGGGGGGCTATCGCCAGCGAGATTGGGCTCCATGACACGAAGAGCTTTTTTTTTTTGTGTTGGTTCTCCTCCACACAGATCGATCTTCGGGGAGATTTTCAAACTAAGGAACATTGGCAAGGCATGCGCTGTGACAGGCATCGGATGCAATGATGAGTTGGCAGTGGGGAAGCATATGCGACGCGCCCCCAAAACGGCTAAGAAGTTTTTAATCAATCCTACGTTTTGAAAAGAACGAAGATATGTCCAAGGCATGAACAAATACCTCACTTCAACGGTCAGAACTTAATCCTGTACACCAGATTAGGCATGCAACATGGTCCCAACTCCTGGATTTTGTTTAGATAGTGAACTAGGAGACACAAAGAGCTATGGAGCTTTTTTGTCGAGTTCAAGGATCATAGTATACTGGACACCTCTTCGGAAACCATTGGTTACAGTTCGAGCCGATGAAAGACCCAGCAGGCATGAATTGTTCGCTGTAGAGTTGCAAGATGGGAGATTTTCGTCTACCACGCCAAGAGTTTCCGGCCTTTCCATTTCAGATATGTATGTATGTACAGTATGTACATGGAAGAATGGAGGAGTATCCTTTGATGATACCCGTTCTCAACACTCGGTGTGAAGCGCGCATGGTTAATCCCAGCTCTTCCTAGTTTCCCGCTCGTTTTCGGAATATTACAAGCGATTGCATTCGGGAATCGGGTTCGATTCATACCAAGACCTCATTGCTTCTGCGGCTGAGTGAGGAATAACAAAGAGTGGATGGGTAACGTTGAGGCGATCTCTCTCGTGAAACAAAACGCCGTCGGGCTCAACATCAGTAGGTGATGTTATAGGTATGTGTGACCATGAAAACGCTGAAGAGAAGGGACCTCGCGCTACGGGCCCAGTGGCAGTGTCAAAGTGGTAATTTTGCGTGTTACTGAGCCCTGCGAGGGTGTAACATGAATGGTAAGAATCGGCAGGCCTGCGGGGTGGGAAATGTCAGTGATCATCATTTCAGAGCACAAGAGGCTTGCGGGCCGTGCACCACATACTTTCCAGGTTTGTCACGCAGTCCGCCATGAGGAGATTGACAACAGCCGAGAATATACCTCGTCAAACCCTCGCGACTATACAGGCTGCCGAATTTGGGTTGGGGGTTATCGGGATCTACTTGCGTGCCATTCAGAGCAGCCTGGATCAAAGGCCAGCAACCTCCGACCCAATGGCTGTAACAACCGTCCACTAGCTTATTCGTGCGTCCCGCAAAACCGCCTTCAGGGGCGTATTGTCTTGCAGACAGCCATGAGATTAGCAGAGGGGCGTCCAGATACCTAAACGCGGTCAACTCTGTGTTTTCTCTATTTTATTATCTCCTCACTTACTTGTTAATCATCTCACAAGGACTTCCCATGATGCATAAGCATGCTAGTGCGCAGAATGCATATGCACCATGTGCCTCAGTGCCGGGGCCACCAGAGACCCCTCCTTCGAATGTTTGACCTAGTATTTTGGTAGGTGAGTGACCAAAGCTTTGAATACTGCTAATGCCACAAGAGTGAGTTCTCACATCTCGAAAGATATTCTGGCAATCCGCTTATAAACGTGTCGTACCCGAATTGCCTTGCTGGCGCATCAGAAGGTAGCTCGATTGGTAAATCCAACAATGCTATCATGACCATCACACAGTAGGCACCTCTAGCTAGCAATTAGTATCAGGCAAAAAGGTGAAAGAAATGGAAGTATTACCGCACATCCTCTTCGCCCCCAAGACAAAGTTGGAACCCACCGTCTGGCTGTTTTAATTGCCCGAGCCATTTCCAACTTTGCCCATGTTAGCCATGAAAATGAACCAAACGCGAGGAAGTTGTCGCCGTGAGCATTACTTACAAAGCCATTCGATCCACTAAACCAAACGCCTCTGCTCCACCAACCATGGCGAGACTGAGAATCACAGCATAGGACGATGCACAATGTGACATCTGGCCGTGGCCTCCACCAAAACCTCCAGTCGAATTTTGCATGGGCGTAGCGGTTGATATGACCCTAATAGGTAGCATAAGCATTCCTCTTAGTGAGATAGGACTCTAAAAGCCTGGTGAAAAAGTATAAAAGCCGACTACATCATGCAAACTTGGTATCTTCTGCTGCCACAGCATAGAGGGAAGCCGAAAACATCATATATCATATCTTCTCTATGCACAACTTACCGCTGCCTAAACTTCGTAACATCTTCTCCTAGAAAATACAATCCAGCCAGACCCCAGTACATCATCCACGGACGACTTGCATCCAGCCCGACAAACTTGCCCGGATACTCCTCGAGCGCATCGTACAGAAAGGCAATGTGGGCATCTCGATAGAGACTGGGAATCCCATGTTCGTTAAAGGGCCCATATAGTGTCGGAGCCACGCCTTTCAAGAACGGCAAGCACTGTTGGACAGTTTCATCCTGGGCCCTTGTGGTTTCGGTCTCTGCGCCGTTGCGGACGACGGGAGGTTGAGTGAACAAGGACGGCACCCCTTGTCGAGGCGGTTGCTGTTCCGTGGCCATTTTTGGAGCAGTGCCTGATCTTCTGGAGGGTAGGTTTTTGTGCGAGAGAGGTGATGTAGATGGATCCCCGCCTGTGTTTGTGCTGCTGCCGGGGACGGCTGCGGCTGTTGTGGTGGATTTTGCGGATGCCTTAGATTGAGCTGGGTGGTTTTTGATGGAGGGGAAGCGAACTTTTCGACGAGAAGATCGCATTCCCGGGCATTTGGAGAGAAATGAACGTCAATTATAGGACCTGGAATTTCGAGCTCAGCGAGGACCGGGGAGATGTTGCTATTGTTCTTTTGAAACCTCTTTGTTAATGGCTACTTGGGAGCTATTGTTTTGAAGATTGATGTGAGGTAGTTAGTTAACTAGCTGACTATCTCGGGTTTTGGAGTGTGGAGTGAGAACCATGGTTGGTCTCACTATCAAGAACGAGTTTTCCGAAACCAGCCAATTCCAATTCCACCAAATCAGTTTACTAGGTCTGCTTGGGCTGCAAACCAGGAATGATATCCAAATGAAAATCAACGAATTGGGTGATGACGGAAAACGCCTAGATATGTGAAGAGTGACATTGTATTAATTCTAAGCTGAGCAGCACCTGGGCAAATAGCTAATGAAAAGGGAGTAGTTATATGCTGAAGTTCAGTAACTAAAGGTGGGTTGCCTTGATGTAGTTACACACTTCATCCAATCAAGCTTGCAATAATTGAACGACCACGAACTTCAATCACCAGGGACTTATACCAACTCCTAGCCTAGCCTTTGAAATGATCAGATGCCAATCTTTGCTGTTAAATTTCTTTAGCAAACACCTGAATAGTAGAAGTACTAAAATGGGTGTGTGTAGGGCTGAAGTCATGCTTCTTTCTACCTCCGACGTCGCTAGTTCCAACATCTTTCTGTTAGAGATGTGGACGTACTGCTTTTCTCGGTATCTTTCAACTGGAGTAATGAATAGGATCTTGGAAATTGGGATGAGGTTGTACCAATCTCAGACCAAAGGCTGCACCTAGAAACCAATTAGCCCCTATATCGCGATTATAGGTCGTTGAAAGAATTGAGACGGGAGGCTTGCTAGTTATCCTCCCCTCAAGCTCTCGGGCCGGCCAAAAAAAGCAAAGGGGACTGGGTTTATCACTTATATGCCTAATAGGCCGTTTTGGCCAAAATCTCATTTTCACGTCACAGCTCAATCGCTATGGTCTATGTCGACATGGCAGTGTCTCCGGTCGATGTGCCCTTTGCTTTATGTAGGAATTGGATTTCCCCTAGCTCTCACTGATACCACGTTCCACTGGCTCGCTAGCCTTTCAATGATGGTCTGTCCTAACAGAAGCTAGGAACATGATGATCCCCTGTATCACCAGATACGCTTACCAGCGTTTTCCAAGGTTTGCCTATTTCGTCGAGCAGGTAAAAAAGTAAGTTCCCGGCCCCTTTTTTAGCCCCCGTTGACAAAAGGTCGCTAACTCCTTCGAAGCCTCTAGAAAAATGAGATCCGGGACCAAGATGCAAGTTAGCACACCGCGCAGTTCCCGTTGGCCAGGATACTTGCAGTGATAATGCGCTTCACCGTTGAGCAGAGTGATGAAGGATATTTGCAGTCCCGCCCTGCTTCGGAAAGCGGCGATCGTGGGCCCTGTATGATACGAGTCTAGGTCAGTCGAAGCCCCAGGCAAACCTCGTGCATCCGACATTATCAATAATGAATAGTAACATTGGCTCCTTTTGTGGGTCTCCTCTCCTGCATCTGGCATTGCATCGGACCAGCGTTTGAGATCCGGGCGGTCTTATTAGGATAGAAGCTGAAATGATCCGTCGAACTATTGACTGTCGCATAGCAGGTCGTGCGTTGGTTTCAATCATGCCCCTTGATCGCGGCACTTGACCAGTTTGCGCATATCATGGTTGCGGATTATGATCGGCGTTGCGCTTTGAGCACGGGTGAAAATGCGAAATATATGGCTTCCAACGAAGGCGGTCAATACACAAGTCTCAGCTATCTCCGGATAGTGGTTAGCCTAACATCGGCGTGGAGAAACAAAGCAAGTATTTTGCCGCAGTCCCTCTGTAATGTTGCACAGAGTGGATTACTGAATATTGATTTGATGGCGGGTCGGCTCTCCGTTAACTGTTGCTGGATATGCCACGATGCCTAACATTCTGCATTTGCTTCGTGCGAGAAATTTGCTTGTCTTGAAGAAACGACCTCTCTTGGAACAGCGCCGGAAGTGGCAAATTCTTTTCCGTCGGCCTTCTCAGGAGATGTTGCTTGTGACCGAAATTGGCGTCAAGGCGCTTGACTTAGGGTTATTGGCTGCTCCTCAAGAATCCTTTGGAGTTCCTGTCCAAATCAGGACGAGAGCGGTCTCTTCAAATAAACCTTGTTTTAGCGGTAGTGTGAAGCCTTGGAGCCCAAAAGGGAATAATGTGAAGAAAGCGGTGTCCAAAACGAGAATAATTGTCTCCATATTTCCCTTCTTGGGAGGTGAAAGGGACTGGAAGGATTCTGGCTCGAGGGTAATTTTCATTGTTCAAACCGCTCAAGGCAACAAAATGGCGGGGAGCGTCGAAGGAGGGCCCCAGCCACCGATATCATTAACCGCTGGCCCAGAGCCTACTGCGGGTCACTGGAGCTTTTCGCCAGCCGAAAAAGAGCAAGAAAACTCGGATCTGGTATGGAGAGAGGTCCTTGTATGAGGGAGAAAAGACAGGCAGGACCTGCCTTTGATGCAAGTCATGCATAGGGTGTGCATACATATGCCATGCACCAGCAGCACGAAAAGAAAAGAAGAATAAAGTCCATTCAGTGATGGTCTTGCAATTTTCGTCAATGCTTTGAAATCATCAACGGTTGACCGCTATGGTGAGAAGTTCAACCACAGAGCTTTCCGGAGAAGGGATCCATGCAAGTCATTCGCCAAAGCGGGAGATGGACATGATACCCTTGACCAATTTTAATACTTGGAATCCATCAGTGGATCTCTTATTGGACGGGTTTAATTCGCAAACGTCGGAGAATTGCTGGATATCCTGTATCTCGGCGCTGGGTCATGGAAGCTGGGAAGCGAGCTTGGGGACTGGGCATATCTGGTCTAAATGGGGTTAGCAATGGCGGGGTTTGGAGTTTGAGCATCCCAGAGCAAGATCCCTTCTTCCTCACACCGTCGTAACTGTGGACTCGGTAGTTTTATGTACCATCACGGGTGTTTGAGGCGGGGAGCAAAACGCCGACACCAAGTTGAAGCAGTGTTTCCCCAAAGATCTGTCTCGGCGGCTCGGTTCGAAAGAAAAGATCTCGCAGATCATCATCTCCGTTCCATCCGCGCCTGGTGGTCCGTGGATGGGAGAGACGGCCGAATCACACAACTTGCCTTGTGGTGATGGCTGCGGACATGGGCCAACACGACGAGAACATGCCGGCGTCACCAGCATCCCAGGCATGCTGGTCCGGGTGCGTCAGGTGACGAGTGCGTGGCGCTTGGCGCGGTTGAGTGCGTGGTTCAACGCTTCTGCGACATCCCAGCCTCCCGACAAGGCCAAGGTGCGTGTGAGATCGAGATCCGTCCGCCCACGAGCCGTCACGCTGCGACGTGATAATTGGATGGCTGGAGTGCGGTCCTTCCAGCAGATGGAGCAGCGCCTCCCAGCTGATTTGGTTCCGATGAGCTGGCAATGGCACGCATTTGGAGGGGAGGGCTGCGCCGCCAATGGCGTGGACGCCGTGGCAGTTAGCGGTGCTGCAGGGTGGTCTGAAACCTTCTTTTGCTTCTTTTCCTCCGGGATGGGATTAGCGGGTTGTCTCTCCGCTTGAGTAACCAACTGGTTATTAATGATTACGATCACCGTCGTCGGAGTCAGTCGAAGGAGGAGAGCGACGAGCCTGTGAGGACTTGTTGTCTTGGAGTTCAAGCGGGAGCGAGAGCCCCTCCGGCAAGCGAGCGCATCCACAGTTTCGCCGAGCGCGCAGTTTAGCGGCAGCCCGCCCGCAGTCACGCCTAAACATCCGGGGGCCCTTAGGCGTGTTTCCAGAGTTGGCCGCCCAGAGCTTCCTCCCCCTAGCCGCCCCCACCGCTCCCCGACGAACCAGAGCCCGCGGCCGCTCACCGCCGCTTCGTCTCCCCACGCTCAAGTAAAGCACACGTCCCCGACTCACTCCCCTCACATCTCGCTCTCTCTCGCTCTTTTCGGTCTCCGACCCTTCTCTTCTGCTGCGGTCTTCAGCTCTCCCAACAGGAACAGACCCGCGCCTGAGAACCTGTTCACCCATTCGCCGCCAAACCTGGCCTCCACCGTTCAGCTGTCGCAGCCGTCGTCTCGTCCCTGCTCTGCGCTCGTCTCTCGCCTGCTTCACGTCGTATAGTCGCTCCTCGTGATATCGCCAAATCGCCAAATCGCCAATGCCACATTAGGCAATGGCTGAGGTAAAAATGACCACCGAAGGGCTGATTGGCCTCGACTATGATCCACGACGATACGTCTCAGACGCCAACATGGCCGCCTGTGGGCATCGATCAGACTGTGTCGCAGCCCCGATTAGACCCCAAGAGGCCTGTTTCGCCCCTGCAATCCTGCTGTCATCAATTTAATCACCACGACCAGAATCCGATTTCCGACTGGGGCGTCCAGCATCTTCATCCTCATCTTCAGTATGCGACAACCCAGCCAACCGCCGCGGAGACCCCATTCACATCCGCCTACAATGTGTCCTTGCAACCGTCGCCAATGGGACTCATGCCCGTCACTGGGCACATGGATTCGGGCTTGTTGAGCGGTTCATATCTTCCGCTCGACATGGTGCCTTACACTTGGCAAGAGTTCCAACCGGACTTGTCGTTCGCGCCCGTCGATAGTACTGGGGAGATGTTTCAGTCGCATCACCTCCCGGATACTAGCTCTCCAACCGACACGTATCTCGAGGTGAGGTCGCTGACCAGCTCCACCAGCGACAACAGTTGGACGCTGATTGATAACCGGCGATCGATGGACTTCCATGACCAAAATGTGTTCATCAATCCGACGCACACTCTTCATAACCGGAGTCTTTCGGAGTCATCCTACTCCGACCTGGACCATAACCCGCACAACTCGTTTGGAAGCTTCTTGGAATTATCGCATGCGATGAACTCGCCAACGTCTTCCGACTCGAACATTGAATCAGAATACAACGTGTCATTTCAGCGGAGAGTATCATCGGACATTGGGTCCCATGCGTCTTCGTCGCCGCCAACCGCAATCAGCCCTCTTTCGATCACTCGACCTATTCCAGTAGTCGTCAAGAAGTCAGGAATATTGTCCTCGTCGCGATCACCCAAGCAAGCCGCTGGTTCTCCACCAAGCAGAAGGCCATCACGCAAAAGCCCGATCGCCGCAAGGAACGCAGATACCAAGGTTCGAAAGCAGACCGATCCAAACAAGCCTGAGAAGGAAAAGCGCGTTGGTAAGCGAAAGGGTCCATTGAAGCCAGACCAAAGAAAACAAGCGAGTGAAATTAGGAAATTGAGAGCATGCCTCAGATGTAAATTCTTGAAGAAGACGGTAAGTGGTGGTGTTCGCCTGGTACGGTACGCAAACAGCTGACCTTTACGACTATACAGTGCGACAAGGGAGAGCCATGCGCAGGATGTAAACCGTCCCATGCCAGGCTCTGGCAGGTTCCATGCACTCGCATTGATATCAAAGAAATTGGCTATTTCATGAAGGACTGGAAAGCCGACTACGAACGCCACGTCACTCTTGGTTTCTCGGTTGGTAATATCACCGGATTTTCTGATATCGAGCGGACATTGTTTATCACGCACGGTTATGGCCAAGTCCTTCCCGTCAAGGCGCGAGAAGTATACGTTCGCGATGAGGATTGTTTCAACATTGACTGGGTTGAGTCACTGCAGCGGAATCCAAACAACTTTGAACTAAAAACCGGGAAACTCTCTGCCGGAATGGAAGGTATATCCTCTGCAATGCTCTCCGATTACCTCGACAGGCACATCGATGGAAACGGCAGTTTCGAGAGGTTTGTTGACGACTACTTTGGAGGAACACCCTTCTTGACACAAATGCTCAAGACTGCATTCCGGTTCTACTTCCGCACCAAAATGCCAGTGATTCGCAAGGCTCTCAAACTGATTCTGGCATACAACCTGACAATGCACGTTACCATGGTCGAAGGCCTTGGCGAATTGGAAGACTTCGTTGGAAAGGTTGAAGACCAGTCATCGATGTACAATGGCAAGATTATGGCACCGGTCATGATCAATTTCCAAATAAAATGCGCAATGGCCAATATGTGGCGTGATTTGCAAAAGGATGTCTTGGAGGAACTCTCAGCCTTGTATTCCAGTGTGTACAGCGGAGAGAAGCTCAAGAATTGGCCGACTATCTTTATGCTTGCTTCGATATTGCTGGCTGTGTGGGAAGAAATGCAGTTTGACTGCCATTATCGTGTGCCTGTAAGTTTCTTCCAATTCTCCTAAACCCTGTCGCATGGGTAACTAACTGATCGCCATGTAGGATCCTGCGGCCGTGAATAAGTTCTGCACTGATATGGAAACCACGCCAGTTGGCGTCATTGTTGGTCTTTTCCAAGCAATCTCGCAGAAGCTTCCCGCCTTCACGGAATGGAACTCGCAGGAGCATCACCACCTCCTCAACTCCAACCCAGACGTCTGCAATGCCATGACTGAAGTCCGGGAGCATGTCCGCCAGTACGGTAAGTTTGGGACGCAATTGTCTTTTTCCAAAACTTGCTTGCTTACACATACTTGCCTAGAATCCTACCTTCGCACTCGCTCCAACTCCACGTTCGACCGTAACGACTTTGACTGTTTATCGAATAAATTCCTCTCTAGACTCGTCTTACGCGCGAACCAGCCAACTCGAGAGGTTGTCCATGCCACGTAATACGAAATCCAATATGCAAAAGTATATGCTGTCAATGACCATTTAATTCGATCAATGCAACACTAATGGCGCATATAATGATCGGCTACGACACATGACTACTAATGACATGGAAGTACGCCTATATTGCTACCACGAAACGAAACGAGGAAACGACAATGCTCTGTCTGCGTTCTGTTTATTTCAATCCAACTATTGTCGCTCTTTTGACACTTCCTTGAACTCACTATCTGCTTCCGGTATCTTGACGTTGACCAAGTCACGATATGCGTTTGTTTTATCGTTATTTCGCTTCATTTTAGTATTCGTTTTGTTTTTTCTTTCTTTTTTTTCCCTGCAAAGCGGAATGATGACGAGGACCACGAATCTTATGACTGTGACATTTGTAACTGTCTGTGATCGAAGAAATGAAACATACACATCTGGGAAATCGACAATAGGAGAGTACCAAAGATGATATTAGAACCCGGCTTTGCTTCAAACGCCTGGACAGCGTTTCCACAGCCATGGCCGGTATTTGTTTTGTTTCCTTTTTTTTCCTTTTTTTCCCTGCATCGGCCCTTCGAATGTAGTGTCTTTTTTATCCCGTTTTCATATTTTTCTCCCTTGATATCTCAACATGGTTCTTTCGGTAATCAGAATGATATCTGGGTATTTCCAGTTCGTTATTTCATACCTCATGCATCTACATGTGCATTTCATGGGCCATGGTACTCCATATACATCATTCCCCTTGTTTTTGAAACTGTTTTCTTTTTCTCCATTGTGCTTGCTTTTTGGCAATGAGATATGCGAAGGGAATATCAGGTACCCTCTTTTACCCAGCGGACATGACCCGGTGCCACGTCGTCCACCGCCGCGCTAGTACTCGGTGTTTCCAGCATTCGCTTGACCTAGTCTATCGACGCACATGCCGTGAGAGAAGATATGCAAACTATTTTCGATTCTCTTTGGATTCATCGGTTGGTGTGTTTTGTGTGAGGGCGTATAGTTGGATGTGGGTTAGGAACAGCGAGGGGCGAGGATTTATCTAGGGGGTTTGATTGATTTGAGAAAGATGGTGCGCGGATATTATAGGTATAGTCTGAAAAGAGGATAAATTTCAACAAGCGGCTTTGGATGTATGTGCATTTGTATGGACCATAGAGTCTTTTACAAAGGGCCTCGCATAGCAATTCTATCAAGTGGTTCAGATTTTTGAGACCTCTTTTCGCCAGCTCATAAATATGATTTAACAAAGTGAGAGAGATTAGAATAGGTGCGAGCTTGCTCATCAAGAGCGACCATATATAATCACTTGGCCTTTGATTGTTCTAGGCCAGGCTTGCGAAGGTCGTCCAAGTAAGATATTCGGTCTTTCTCCAACGAGGGAACATCGCACTTTTGTGGTAGATTAGTAGATATTTCAAATAGATAAAGTGCACAAGATAGCATACTTTTGCAAGCGAGGGAGGATCTCAGAGGTCGGGCGATCGCCAGCAGCAAAGCTGACGCATCGCCATAACCTCGTCGCGGTAAGCAGGGGGAGACCGCCACGCATGCTTTCCCGTGCGCACGGCAACGAGAACACTTCCCGAAGACGGTCGGGAACGAACCAAGGGTGTTCTCAGTTGGCTATCCGCCTGTGTTCTCACTATCAAGAAGTGTATTTGACTTGTCATTTGAACTATTCACTGGATTGCTTTCAGTGGTTACTTCTTGCACCAAAAACTTGACGCACCGCGTGCACGCGCTGTCAGAACGTAGCGACCTATCATCAAGGAACCGGAGACCATAGGCCAACTACTTACGGGGACAGCAAAACCCAAGGCTTCAGCCGGAGTCACTTCCACGGCCGAATCGTCTCCCAACAACTATGACCCCGTTAACTCGCTGCTACCATCCGGCAAAGAACCAGCTACTTACAGGAGAGGCACCACGAACAGACCTTTGCGTTAATTCGTTAACTATTAACTAGTAAAACCTATCATCCCGCCACTTTCTCCCCCATCATAATCTTTCAATAGTGTATGCGATTATATGGAAGTAAAACACCCCTGGTAATTTCAGCGAGAAAGTGTTTAATAGATTCATCGCTTTTTTATAAGGTAGTAGAACGGATCGGACTGGATTTGTTGACTGGGACTGAATTCTAATTGAGTCCGAATCGCCTCGATTAGTTTAATCCACCCACTTTCAGGGAAGAAGAAGACTTTGGGCCCTCGAATGGATGAGTCTGATGAGGTATGTAAAGTTCTTGTGTTGTAGCTATAGGACATTCCATAGCAGCTAAATCAAAGCTCTTTGTGACTCTGGCAGCCCAAGGCTCACACCATGTCCTCAGGCCAATTGCTCTCATACTTTTCCGGGACAACAGCAGAGAGCGGCTGGTATTCATTGTCAAGGCCACTGAGAAGTAAATTAGACCACGGAGGTCAATGGCCCGTTGAGCCGCGGGAATAAGCTCAACCAGTCCCCATTACCGTTAACAATTGGTCAGTCTAGGAAATGCGAAATTCCTACCTTGTCTATCGAACGGGCTTATAACGGGATACAGACAACGAAAAGGCCCCGAAACGTCACGGTAATGTTTCGAGTCTAATAATCGAATTACCGCTTCTTCGAAGGCAACGCCGTTCTCGCAGTCAGAACCTAGAAATGTCGAATTAGTCCAGTTCAATGTCGAGATTGCATATAACTTACGCTCGAATCGGGGAAACATAGCCCTATTCGTTCGTACCATTTGTTTCTCTGCGTCCTTGGCGATATTCTCGTAGCTGACCGAGATCCTTACTCTGATACACAGAGCACTTGCGTAAGTCATTGAATCATGCCCTATTCGTTCGTTCGGTTTGCATTCTATGCGTGTTAGGCGGTATTCTTGTACCGAGGTTCGGCTGGCCTCTGGCTCCCGTGACGCCCCTCCCGTCCAGGTTCGAATATGTGCAAGTTATCTTCAAAGATGTTAGCCCAACCCCACGACAAATCCCCTGCAAGTAGCACAAAGTAGAGCAAAGCCAACGCAGAATTCACCTACTAGCACACAATAACGTTAGGCCTGGCGACAAGCATCTTCAGGGCCGACCACGCAAGAAACGCCTGAATGTCCATGCCGGGGAAGGTAGCTTTACGGAAACCGGATCGAAGTGCCTCTTGCTATAGGCGCAGGTTGTTATGCACCATCTGTCCAGCAGAGCTCCATGCGCATATGTGTTCTTTTTTCTCGTGCAGCATCATTAGCGTGCAATGAAACTTCCAAGGGTGACATTGCTGTAGTCGAATGTATAATTATGCTGCCTTGACTTTGAAAAGCCAAATAACACGGATGGTAAGCCGTTCTGCGGGAGTAGCCGCCCAGTTCAAAACAAATGTCCAAAGTACGGACCGAGATCTGATTTGGACGGTTCAAACCAGCAGCCAAAGTAAGTATGGGCTGGAGGCCTGGACTCTGGAGTAGCCTGCAACGGATCTGCAAAAGAACGGGGTATCGAGTTCCCCAGTGCCTCGAGGGCAGGAAGCATTGCCAGAAAGAATCCTTCCCACAGAGGCCACTCTCGGATGGTAGACCTACATATTGATGTCCTAAATAGGCGACCTAGAAAAGAAATGCATGCCCGGTACTGGGATGTCCAGTCATAAAAGGAGTAGTTCGAGCACACAGTTGCTTTTGAAGCGTTGCTGCCTCTCCAGATAAGACCCTGCTGGATAACCTCTAAATTGCTCTGAACTGACGAAGTTAGTATTAAGTTGTCCTGAGATGTTGGCTCTTGAGGTGTATTGCACAATATTTCCTCTTTGTCTGAGGTGAGTTCCTTTCTGATTCTTTTATCCTCCTATTCGAATATGTGTTTTTGTCTTCGAGACAAACTATCCAGCCGTTGGTTTCAATTTCTCGACCCGGGCCTTAAATACCATGTAAGTCTGGACACTGGTCAATCCTAAAGTTCTCCTATGAAGTGATTTTGAGAGTAACAGTAGTTGAATAGTTGTCTTGGCCGAGATTGGTCGATTGCTCCGATCAAGCCTTCCCGGCCTTAGCCTCATGTTCCGTAGGAATGAATGTAAATTAAAATTCCAAACTCATGGTGATGGGCATTGGATTGTTCGCTTACCCATGACGATCACCGCTGTCATTGTTCTCAACAATAATGATGCTTTTTCATCATCACTATCGTCATTTATGTCAAGCTTTGGCCTGTTCAAATTTGTACCACTTTGAACTCCAGTTGCTGCCTGCCCACCCATGCCAACTAGATTTCTCTTTGCGTCAAATAATTCTGACACAGCAGCCAGCTGGGATGGACGTTGGGACTTCTGGTAGCAGCTGCAGCTACAGCCGCTGTCATGCCAAACGTGTTGTCGGACCCATTGGCTGCCGTTACCATTCTGTTGTTCTTGGTTGCTTGGGACTTCGATAGAGCCCTACTGGTTGGGTATGTTTCACTTTCATCAGTAATTCTATCATGTTGTTACCGTTACCATTATTTCCTAAGTAACATTGACGGAAGCCTTGAGTTTCGAGTAGCTTAGGCGTTGTCTAACCGAGACATGCCACCATAGATGTGATATATGCAGATGTGAGGCCCTTGTTGTAGTTGACTGAGAGTATGAATTTTCCAGAGCGTGTATACTGAGCAGGTGACTTCTAACCTGGATGGTCAATAGTTCATTTCCTACTGCCGTTAATAGGTTGCTGATAAGCACGATCGACTCAACCAAAATTGAGGTAGATGTTTCGGTTAAAATGCTCAGTGTGTTCAACGTGGCAGATCATCATATTGGTCCTGGCCAACAGGAACAATAGACATATCTGGCTGCTTCTGCGACGCAGCGTATGGACCTTGAAACCCTCGAAAGGCTCCGTAAGCATCGGTATCATTAAACAGACGCGAATCACTGACATGATAGGTAGCTCATTGAAAAGGTATATGTATATTCTTGAGGGGCGTAAAGGTCTTCCACCTCTGTAGTTTATTTTCCATGTAAATGTGATGGGCCGTCTCTTCTAACCCTTGAAAATTTCAAAGTTGACTCATCCTGGTCACGCCGCCAGCAATTGATTTTAAGTGAATTTGACGTAGATTTGAGAGGGTAACTAGTTGGAAGAAAATTTCAGCTTGTGGCAAGAAACGAAAAGAAATTTGTCGAGGGAGGTTATAGGTTTCAAGATAAATGCTTTATGATAGTCTCTAGAGGGAGCAGACGGTCAGCTCTTCTAGTGGCTCTAGATTAAAATGCGATATAAGAATGACAGGGAAGTGAGACAGTAAGCTTTGATTATTTGACGGCTACTGTGAAAGGATATTGGAAGGTAAGTTAGCGGTTGAGAGTGGGAGAGAGAGAGAACTGATAGATGGAGGTTGGAGCTGCGGGCTGTTGAGTCATGACGTAGTCACTAAGCTTTGCGCTAAGACGTAAATACGGGGATTACACGGGGCTTTGTATCGCATTACTCAGCATTACACTGGATGCTTCTGGCGGGTTCCGCCGCTAACTGGATTTAATATGTGGAGTGCTGGACTGGGCGGCTTCTGCAGTGTCTGATTGGTGGTTAAAATTACCACTTGTGGCTGTTTGGCTGTGACAAGCCGCCGCACTTGTATGGGCCAACAGGCAGCGAGCCTCCTTGTGACGATGACTAACCTTGGCTGCTTCGCCTCCCCTCACTTTCCCCCCCGTTGCCGCCAGCCTACTTAAACCTCCCGCCATCTCTGCTTCTCAATCTTCTCTTCAACCTCTCCCTCTTTCCTCACTCTCTCTTGATCTTGATTTCATCGAAACGTCAACTGCACTCTCCATATCTCTTCTCAACTACTCCATTACACCTTTCACACTCGCAACGCCGATATGCAGATTTTCGTCAAAACCCTGACGGGTAAAACCATCACCCTTGAGGTTGAATCTAGCGATACCATCGACAATGTTAAAACAAAGATCCAAGACAAGGAGGGTATTCCGCCCGACCAACAGCGCTTGATCTTTGCTGGTAAACAGCTTGAGGACGGCCGCACCCTCTCCGACTACAACATCCAGAAGGAATCAACCCTTCACTTGGTTCTTCGCCTCCGTGGCGGTATGCAAATCTGTAAGTTGACTTTCCTGTGAAATTTTGTTATCTTTGTGGCGATTTTCTAACATTTTCAAATACAGTCGTCAAGACTCTTACAGGGAAGACCATTACCCTCGAAGTCGAGTCCTCTGATACCATCGATAACGTCAAAACCAAAATTCAAGACAAGGAAGGTATCCCGCCTGACCAGCAGCGCTTGATCTTCGCCGGAAAACAACTGGAAGACGGCCGCACCCTCTCTGATTACAACATTCAGAAGGAATCCACCCTTCATCTTGTCCTTCGTCTTCGTGGTGGCATGCAAATCTTCGTGAAAACTTTGACTGGAAAAACGATCACATTGGAGGTTGAGTCTTCCGATACAATCGATAATGTGAAAACGAAAATTCAAGACAAGGAGGGAATTCCACCAGACCAACAGCGACTTATTTTTGCCGGGAAACAACTTGAAGATGGCCGCACTCTATCGGATTACAATATTCAGAAGGAATCCACGCTCCATCTTGTCCTTCGGTTGCGAGGTGGCATGCAAATTTTCGTGAAGACCTTGACCGGCAAGACTATTACATTAGAAGTCGAATCATCAGACACAATTGACAACGTAAAGACAAAGATCCAAGACAAAGAAGGTATTCCCCCAGACCAGCAAAGACTTATTTTTGCTGGAAAGCAGCTTGAAGACGGCCGAACGCTCTCCGATTATAACATCCAAAAGGAGAGTACTTTGCATTTGGTTTTGAGATTGCGCGGCGGCAATTAAGCGTCTATCGTTGTGAAGGGTCGGCGGGTTTATCTTTTCAATTCGGGAGCATTCAACCGGTATGGCGTTCAGTGGATACATACCATGTCGGTAAATAAACCGTGGTGCATCTGCATGCTACAATGTCTTTCTTTTCAGTAATAGCTACGACTACTCAATGTGATTGATGATACCTCAAATCCATACTTCTTCCACTCCGTAGAATTCTGCGAATTTGCAACATCATAGCTGGAGGCAGGTGAGGCTGGTAGTTAGCTTTGATGATGTAACTTTGAGCATCCCGATAAGATCACGTGGATTCCTGATAAGAAGCTCTCCTTTCGACCTCAACATTCAAGCCGTGCAAACGGCATCAAAGCTGATGAGGAGCAGACGATATGCCCTCCTATTTTTACTACATTTGCCTTGAAGTCTTGCCTGATAATTCTGCCGGTGCTAGTGGCGCCACCCTTACTGTTGAATCTATCCACGAGTCATTGCTCCCATTTTGCAGAAAACTAGTCGGTTCAGCAACGAGTTTCAATCAAGGATTCAGTGCTAGTGAATTACAGCCAGCAAAGGGCTCTAGCCAAGCCGCTGTGAATCTTCCTCGTCAATGTCTTCCTGCGAGGGACTTTTTGCACGTTCAGCAACCTTCTTTGCAACATATTGCAGGCCATTATAGAACTGGCGACAAAACCTCAATTGTCTACGATAAACGAGCTGATAACATTTCCATTGAAGGCATCGATATGGTGTTAGATTTACCTGATCGAAGCCGTGGCTCTGATAACAACCAGATCGCGAAAGGAATAGGCTCCAGAGCTATTGGAGGTCTTGCTACAAAGGGGAAATATGTTTCGCTTGACCACAAGGTCCCCGAGAGCGTATGCGGAATCGTGCATCTATATAGAGATGGGGACCCTACCCCAGGCCTCTCTGATAGCGATGACGACCCATACTTTTTAAAAGGTTCGTCGATCGCGCGCAATGCAGAAGTACCGTCCACAAGACCTAGAAATCGCCCAGACAACAGGTTTCGTTCGGACACACCATTATCGCCAGAAGATTGCACTACTTTGTGTATCTTAGCTGTTCCCTCATATATGTCCCCTCCGGACTTTATAGGTTGGGTGGGGCAAGAAACGAAAAACGACGTTAGCCACTTTCGCATGATTCGAACAGAGAGACGCAATCGATATATGGTGTTGATGAAGTTCCGAGATGAGCGCAAGGCAAAAGAGTGGCAAAAGGATTGGAACGGCAAGGTCTTCAATAGCACGGAGGTGAAGCCACCAATTCAGTTATGACCAAGCTTCATTTTGCTAACCCTTAACATTTGGTTAATAGCCCGAAACGTGCCACGTTGTATTCGTAAAAGATGTGGAAATCCAGGCTCCTGCGGCTTCGCCAGAAGGTCGATTTCCGGATACAAACAACGATCCTTTTACTTCCCAGGCGCAGGTGCAGGCGAGCGCGGTAGCAGCCGCTTCCTTGTCTACAAAACCATTAGCCCCTCCAACCCCATCGTTGATTGAACTGCCAACGTGCCCTGTCTGCTTGGAGCGGATGGACGAAACCAGTGGACTCCTTACCATCATATGTCAACATGTTTTTCACTGCACGTGTCTACAAAAATGGAAAGGCAGTGGCTGCCCCGTCTGTCGATACACACAGGAGGACCTGGCCAAGCGTACTTCCGCCCTTATTCATGATGAAGATCCGGAATGCAGTGTCTGTCATTCGGAAGAAAACCTTTGGATTTGTTTAATATGCGGGAATATTGGGTGTGGGAGATATGACGGTGCGCACGCATTTGCTCACTTTAAGGAGACAGCACATTCTTTCGCTATGGACCTATCATCGCAGCGCGTTTGGGACTATATTGGAGACGGCTACGTCCACCGGATTATCCAAAATAAAGCTGATGGGAAACTCCTGGAGTTACCAGCAGCTGACAATAGTGCCCTTGACCCTCCCGACTGGGCTGATGCTGTTCCACGGGAAAAGTGGGAGAATATGAGCGTTGAGTATACCCATCTTCTTACAAGCCAACTGGAAAGCCAGCGGACATACTTCGAAGAAAAGGTTGAGCGCGCAGCGGATAAAGCATCAGAAGCGAGCGCGGCTGCTCTCGCAGCAAGGGAAGCCGCCGAGAAACTGACCATGCGCCTGGAAGGATTACAATCTGAACATGATACCCTGGCCAAGGAGACGATTCCCGCTCTTGAAAAGGATAAAAGCCGAGCTGAGCGGCGTGCAGAAAAGTTCGAGGCGTTGTCCCGCAAAATGGAGAAGGAGTATCGAGAAGAAAAAACAATCAATGCCAGCTTAATGGAACGCGTAGATTACTTGACAACAGAGGTCGAGAATCTAAAAGCGGCCAATGCAGATCTTTCTGAGCAGAACCGAGACCTTACATTCTTCATCAGTGGGATGGAGAAGTTGAAAGATCAGGGTGAGGATGTAGTTGAAGGCACGGTTAGTGTACCAGAGCCATCGAAGACTGGGAAGAAAAAAAAAGGAAAAAACAAGAAGTGATATGAGTTTTCTGAAGTCGTGGAGACGGTTGGACTCCCCAGCAACTGGACATACTCAAGTCTGGCGGTCTAGATTGATTAACAAGCGTCTTTTGCGGTTAGCCCGCCTGCTCTTTGTTCTGGCCCCAACTAAAAGCTGACGGGATTCCTCAGGAGCCCAATCGGAAGACAGCCCAGGTATACCAACGGAAGCAAGAGGGCACGTGAACTAATTCCATCATCGGAAGTGCTGTTTATGCACTGTGATCACATCGACATGTATGTATGTACAGGAGAGACCATGCAGTTACTCATTCTTAGCTTTTCCTGCTCTGGCCCTGATCAACCAAACGCATTGGTGTCAGGAACGGCCAACGCATGCGCCCGAAACATGTGCATATACTTTGTAGGAGTGAAAAGCTCACCTACTTTCTAGAAAAGTACATACAAACAAGCTTCAAACCCCAGGGCGGCCTCATGTGTCCCGGGCGCCCTATAAGCTTCCTGACAACCCAGTGGGATCGTGGGGGCAGATCATGCACGATGTATCACAAAAACTGCATGGCAGAGATATTCCCTTTTGGTTCTATCTGAGCCAATGGATTGGGCACATGCAACAAAGATTTTTCAAGATCTGACACTACAAGCGGGATCGGGCCGTTTTTCTACGTTTCTTTTTCCTGAAAGGAGCCGATTTCGGGGGTTGGGCTTTCTTTTTTCTTTTCGGAAGCGGGGAGTAATCGCAATTCGGGTGGTAGGAGATCGGAGGCTGTCTGTATATTCAGCCCGGAGGCACTAGCGCTTCTGAGATCCGTTCTCTCGTAAAGGCAGAATATGTTAAACCTTTTCAAGCTTTTGGGTCCTCCATACGCGACTACGAACCCGTCTATTGATAGGATATCTGATACTGGATAAGGCTCGGTCCGCGGAGAAGGTCTAGACCCTTCTTCCTCGCGAGAGCACGATAATCGATGTAGGAGGCTTTCCGACCCATGTCCCTGCCATTGGCGCTTGATAACGAGCGGACGCTATGGCCGGCTGGAATCACAACTTCAATATGTGCGCTGTTTGGAGAGGGGGGCACGTGGGCGGGAATCTTGGCCAATGTAGAGGTTTCATTTTGCTAGGTTCCGGGGATGCGCTCTGCGTTGAGTCGAGTTCAAACTTCAAGCCGGGGGTTTCATAAGCTTGTTGTTCCGATTTAGCCGATTGACACATGAGTTGTTCAAGTGCTGCACGCAATGAATGACTTCGGGTTGTCGGCGCCTGCATCTACGGATTCTCTTACTTTAGGATCTTAGTTTTACTGACAATCTACCTCTCCGGCCTGCAATATCATATTGCCACATCTTGGGTCTATCAATTGCCATGAGGCGGTGGGAGGCTCCGGAGTCCGCCAAGACTTCCATTCCACTTCTTGGCTTCCTTCAACGGAATTCCGCCAAGCCTTCCGCCGGTGGCGAGAAGCAAGAACGTTTCCTCCCACGCTTAATCAGCCTTGCGATGACGTGCAATGCTCCGCCGCGTGGTATGATTGGTGGGTCTGGGGACGCGGTCGATCCAATGAGTGGGTCTTTATCACGTGTTTGATGGGCAACTGACCAATGGGAGCCACGTCGGGAGAGGGGTGGCGGCCTGAACGGAGCCGGACAAGGAAGCCAAGAGATTCCGGGAGGGAGGGGAGATAAGCTGAATGGGGGAATGTTTCAGTTGGAGCAAAGGCGTTGCGGAGATCTTTCAAGGCCCTTCAATCACCTTGGAGGAAAACGGGAATTTGGGCGCGTTGAGGTCGATCGTTTTCTAGCAAGAATGTAGGTTTCGACCACGGCGCTAATGCCGACTCTGGAAGAGGTGCTTTTGGAAACCTCTGCGGAAACTCTGCCTATTCCAGGGTTTCCGCGAGCCAAGCCTCGCATACTTCCTCTTCTCCTCTCAACGAATGGCGTTGGCTGAACTTTATTGGGGTGGGAATGGGGGAGTGACGACGACACATATGCGCAGGGAAGCAAAAAGTAACCTTCTTGGCTTCTGGGGAATACAATGGCGTTATCTGGCCGATTGTTGGGTCGACCCAGACAATGACGGAATGCTCGACGGGAGCCTTGAGGAGGGTGAAGAGGGTGGAAAGCATATATACCCCAGGTACTCCCCCGCTTGGACCTTGAACCAACTGTTTCCTTTCCCGGGATAGATCCAAGTGGACATACTCATACTCGTATATTCAGCGATAATCGGGTCAGCATACATTTTCATCCTCCTTCCTTTTTCTGGACGATAACCCAATTAGTACCCTTTCATCGAATCGGGGCGACCAAGATTCAGATCCCTATTTTCTGGACATTCCGGTTCGGATCCTTTGCTCATTGGCGGCGAGGGTATTTTCTCATCGTCGCGGTTTGAGATCTAGATCGCCTATTTTGCGTCCAATACCACGCGAATGGGTTTATTAAGGCCCTATCCTTTCGATCAGCAGAAGCCCAATCATTCTTTCCCTCCCTTTGGACCATTCTTTCCGTCCGCCTCATCGTCGTACGGATAAAACCCCATAGTCAAGGCATTGACATCCGTGTTCTTTCCCCTTCATCACCTAGAAATCCCAAGGGCACCCCCCCACGATTAACTTATAAATAATCCCGACTATCTTGAGGCCGTTATACTAGAAGACGCTGACACGAGTTTCGTGATGCCTTCTTCCAAAGATGGCCCAACACAACAAGAGTACGAGCGACACCCGTTTCTGCTCTCTGTCGAGCATCTTATCCAATCTTTGCAGACAAATCTTGACACCGGTCTGACGGGTGACGCAAAAATCCAAGAGCTTCAACAAAAATATGGCCCAAATCGTCTCTCAGGCGAGGGCGGAGTTAAATGGTACACTCTACTTGGAAAGCAGGTTTCCAACGCCATGGTCCTGGTATGTCTTGACCCCTAATCTCTTTTGCACGAATGTCCACAGAACTTCATCAGGTGATGGTTTGTGTGTGGTTGGATTTGAAAGAATCATTTTCTGTGGTGTATCTTCCTCGCCTGTTTTAGTTCGAAGGGCTTTGCAGGCGTGGATGTGTAGCATGGCAGATAGTGTCTATGCAATAGAAAATAACGGACCATAAACCAAACAATGTTGCCCAGCATTATGTCGCTTTATTTCTATCTTCTGTTCTTTTGGAAACAGCTTGTAGTAACTTTGCAACCGGAATAGGTTCTCGTTCTCGCGATGGCCCTGGCCTACGGCGTTTCAGACTATGTCGAAGGCGGAGTCATTACCGCTGTGATTGTCGCCAATGTGCTCATCGGATTTTATCAGGAGTTTCAGGCGGAGAAAAAGATGGATTCTCTTCGCTCCCTGTCTTCTCCCTCAGCGACTGTGATCAGAAATGGTCATGAGGTCACTGTTCCATCTGGAGAAGTTGTTCCAGGAGACATCGTCCAAGTTAAAACTGGAGATACTATCCCTGCCGATGTTCGTCTATTCGAAGCTATGAACTTGGAATGTGACGAGAAAATCTTGACTGGAGAAGCTGTTCCAGTTGCAAAAGACGTCGAATGGACCACCGACGGAGATGAACTCGCAACTGGCGTTGGCGACCGTTTGAACATGGCCTATTCCTCCGCAACCGTCACCAAAGGAAGAGGCCGTGGAATCATTGTTTTCACTGGGATGAATACAGAAATCGGCAAAATCGCCCAGTCCATGCAGGGAAAAAAACGCAAACCCAACCGCTCATTGTCCCGAAAGAAGTACGGCACCTTCCAGCCAGTCAAGGGAAGTGCTCTCCGTGTTTGGGATGGAATTGGTAAATTCCTTGGGCTCACAGAGGGCACACCGCTGCAGATCAAATTGAGCAAGCTGGCCTACACGCTATTCGGGTGTGCTCTTCTGTTGGCAATCATCGTGTTTGGGGTTAACAAATTCAATGTAACCAACGAAGTAGCAATATATGCTATCTCCACGGGTGAGTCTTCCAACCATATGAATTAGGCGGTACATTAGCTGATTATTTCCTAAGGCATCGCCATCATTCCAGAATCCTTGATTGCCGTTTTGACAATCACAATGGTTGTCGGCATGACACAGATGAGAAAGCGCAAAGTTGTAGTGCGTCAGCTTAGTGCCCTGGAGGCACTGGGTGGAGTAACCAACATTTGCTCCGATAAAACGGGGACTTTGACACAAGGTCAAATGGTCACTCGGAAAGCCTGGATTCCTGGTGTCGGGATGTACTCGCTATCCAAGTCCGACGATGCCAACAATCCAACCCGCGGAAAGATCAGCATTAGCCAGCCTCCAGCCTCGAAACAGGAAGCCGAAGAAGAGCGCGAGCGCAAACGCGCCGAACAGGATCGCCTGCGGAGTACAGCAGGTCTCAAATTTGACGTTCCTCCAGAGAAGGAAGAGCGCGACAAACGAAAACAAGATGAGTTGCGTAACGAGAAGAGTGCTCCTGGCGATGAAGACGAAGACAGCGAACCGACAAGGGTTCCGGATGTCGTCCCTGAGCTACAAGCGTTTTTGGAGTCTGCCGCATTGTGCAATTTGGCTAAGCTGCGTTTTGATCAAGAAACCGATCAATGGCAAACGATGGGTGATCCGACGGAGATTGCGCTACAAGTTTTTGCGCACAGATTTGCTTTTGGAAAACCAACCCTGGAAAAAGAAAAGGGCTGGAAGCAACTGGCTGAATATCCTTTCGACAGCAGTGTGAAAAGGATGTCCGTCATTTACCGATGTGGAGAAGGCCCAGGGACGTTGATCTTCACCAAAGGAGCAGTAGAGAGGATTTTGGATCTCTGCACTTCTGTTGGAGTTGGTAAGCACGAGGAACGGATGGATTCAGCCATGAAAGAAAGAATCCTTGATCAAATGAATTTCCTTGCAGAGCAAGGTCTCCGTGTTCTGGCTATTGCGAAGAAGGCCGGGCCAGATCATTTCGAGCCACACACAGAAATTCCTCGGGACCAGGTTGAGAGTGACTTGACACTTCTCGGGCTTGCTGGCTTGTATGATCCGCCACGATTGGAAACCAAGGATGCCGTGAAAGGTACGTTTCTCTTCCCTTCCTTTTCAAACAAGGGTCAAATACTAATTCTTAGCAGAATGCACAATGGCCGGTATTCGAGTCCACATGTTGACTGGCGATCATCCTTCGACCGCGACTGCAATTGCCAAAGAAGTCGGAATTATCCCTCGTAACACGGGGAATCTTTCTGCTGCAGAGGCGGCCTCTCTCGTCAAGACAGCCGCTGAATTTGACGGAATGACTGATGAGGACATTGATGCATTGCCCTCGCTTCCATTAGTTATCGCCCGATGCGCACCGGATACAAAGACACGAATGATCGCTGCTCTTCATCGCCGAAAACGCTATTGTGCAATGACTGGCGATGGTGTCAATGACGCGCCCTCCCTTCAAGCCGCAGACGTTGGTATCGCCATGGGAATGGGCGGCTCCGATGTCGCTAAATCCGCATCCGATATTGTGTTAACCGACGACAACTTTGCAAGTATCGTCAATGCGATCGAAGAAGGACGCCGCATGTTCGAGAACATTCAAAAGTTCATTCTTCATCTCGTAACTTCGAATGTTGGCGAGGTTGTTCTCCTCATTGTTGGCCTTGGGTTCAAGGACAGAACTGACGTTTCCATCTTCCCACTGTCACCACTGCAAATCCTCTGGATTAACATGTTGACTTCCTCCTTTCCGGCGTTTGGCCTTGGCCGTGAGAAGGCAGATGCAGCCGTAATGCACCGTCCTCCACATGATACTAAAAAGGGTGTTTTCACATGGCAGATCATTGTTGATATGCTTATATACGGTGTAATCATGGGAACCTGCACATTGCTTACCTTCGTCATCATCATCTATGGAGTTGGCGAAGGTACTGCTTCGCTCGGCGTTGACTGCAACCGTACAGCTAGCGATGCTTGTACTACTGTTTTCCGCGCGCGTGCCGCTGTATTTGCAGAGCTTACATGGCTTATTCTCATCTCGGCTTGGGAATTCAAGCATTTCCGGAACAGCATGTTTAATCTCGACCCCTTGCGTGACCACAGCGACGACCGGATTCCTTCTTTTCCATTCTTCCATGATGTTTGGGAGAACCAGTTCCTCTTCTGGGCCGTTGTCGTCGGCGCATTATCCGTCTTCCCAGCCGTGTACATTCCGGGTTTAAATACCAAGGTGTTCAAGCACCAAGGGATCACCTGGGAATGGGGTCTCGCGTTTGGCTCAGTGTTTGTGTTCGTCCTTGGTGTGGAGGCATGGAAGATGGTGAAGCGATCAACAGGCTGGTTCGCATCAGGCGAGGACTACGGCGGCACAACCATCTCGGGTTTCAGAAGGCGCTGGCCAAGTCACGAACTTGGTCTGAGACAAGGATTTTTCACTTTCGCGAAGACCTTGACCAGAGGAAGCGAGAAGAGCTTCGGTGTCGGCTTGACAAGCTCTAGGTCTAGCACCCATGGAAGGGATATCCACAGGCGTAACACCGAAACCTCCATCGGGAAGCAAGCAGAGCAAGTATAAACAGTACCGATTCTACTGTTCTCGCTCGCGAGTGGCCTGAACTCAAGCAGTGGTTAGCTGGGGGTGGATACCGGAGAGGAAAGTAGGATAATCATGGGATTGTCAGAGAAAAAGCGCTGGATTTTCCATAATCCAATCTATTTTGTAGCTAGTTTGCTGGTGATTTCAAGAGTTATATAGGTAACTATTTCAGTGATTGACATGGAGTCGTTTGCTTTTGGTCTCGCGATGTTGAAGAGAATGGCCATGCTTAACGTAATCTACCACTCAACAACGGCCACCACTCAATGACGGCAAATTCTATATGGATGATAAGACTTTAAATAGAAATAATATAAGCAATACTTGAGATATATTTCTGAAATTAAGATATATCATTTTTCAATATTAGAATAGTATGACAGTATAATTATATAATATAGAATTGCATATGTGACTCATAATATCACATGTAAATCTGACTATCAAAATACTATATAAAATAAAAGATATGATATATAAGCTAATAGAATCTTGTTAATTAAATATATTTAAGTATTTTATATAGAATAAGTAAAGCTGAATCTTATAGAAAAATCAAATTTTATAAATCTTTAATATATAGATCTCCATAAGCTTTCAAAGTTTGTCATGAATTGGTATCAAACTACAAAATTGAATATTATAGTAAATAGTTAATGAATGTTTATAAAACTTCAATATAATATGGTTTATACTTATTTAAAGCTATTTTTTATTAAAGATACTGTTTTTATTTTAATTTCAGTGTATAATATCATTCAAAACATTATAGAATGCAATATACTTTTATAATTGATGTAATTATGATTTATTTAACATTATATATGAAATATTATAAGTCAGAATGGGAGTAATTAAGCCAAACTTCATTTTGAATATATATTATATAAGCATATATAAGAATATATTCTTTTATAAGCTTTTTCTTTTCATAGTAATAATAAATAAATGAAAAGCTATATATCTTATTTAATAATATAGATTTTGAGCATTAATCTTTATATTATAATTAATTCATCTTATATATTATAATAGAAAAGAAATTTTTCACTAATATTAAATACTTGACATTTCTTTTAGCATCAAAAACTATAATGTTTGGTATCTAATAATAATATAATAACTAACTTGTAGCTTGAGATATTTGAATGTTTTATTTATTTATATAAAAGAAACTGAAATACAGTATAAAAGAATCTTATAATTTGAAAATATATTAAAATCTGAGCTTTTTATGAGCTACTTGATAAAATTTAATACAGATTAAAAATAATGATATATAATTTACTTATAACTTAGAATTTCTAGCTGAAACTTTTATATAGTAAGAAGTAGATCTAGTATTATATAAATAATCTAATATCTTTTTAAAATCATGCAAATGTTGTGTATAATACACAAGTAATTTCAGAATTGCAATAATCTTAAACAATAACTTCAATTTATTTATAAATATAGATGTTTTATAACATTATAATCTTTATATATAATGAAAATGGCATATTCTAAGTAATATTACAATTTGAGCTTGATATCTTATAAACTGATTGAGTTATTCTTATTTAAATTTTAATACAATAATATTTCATATTTCATTTCAATTTTATTCACTTTCTATAAATCAATTTTCAATTTTTAAAACATTATTATAATATTTATAGTATTCTAAGAGATTTATAAGTAAATCTTTCAATTCTATTCACTTTT